CAGTATCATTATCCTAGAGGTAAGAAACTTCACTGCAATCCCAAAGTCATGTAGTTCCAATCCACCAGCTGCTCCAAAGGAGAAGGATGGACAATCTCCTCCTCTTATTGTCTCTGAAAATGCGCTGGAGGGTCACATGTGGTTTGGTTCAGATTTGACAGTACACAACAACAGCAACATGTAAGTTAAATCTTGCTGAAGATTATCTTAAAATAGCTAAAACAGTACATCAACAGAGAACTGCCAGAAGTTCAAGCTAGATTTAGAATAAACTATGGCATCAGGGGTATCATTGCCAATGTCAGATGGATCTTGGCAGAAAGTAAAGAATGCCAGGAGGATGTCTATCTGGATTTTATTGACTATGCTAAAGCATTTGACTGTGAGGATCACAACAAATTTAGGATAGCATCAAAAAGAATGGGAATCCCAGAACACTTAATTGTGCTCATGTGAAACCTATATCTTGACCAAGAGATGGTTGTGTGAATGGACCAAGGGAACATTGCATGGTTTAAAATCTAGAAGAATATGCATCAGAGCTGTATCCTTTCTCCATACTTGTTCAATTGGTATGGTGAGGAAATCATTTGAGAAGCTGGACTCTGTGAAAAAGAATGTGGCATCAGGATGAGAGAAAGCCTCATCAATAGTCCGTGTTACCCTTGCTCAAAGTGAAGAGGACTTGAATCACTTGCTGCAGAAGATCAAGGACTGTAGCCTTCAAAGTGGATTACATCTCAACATTAAGAAAACAAAAATCCTCACCATTGGCCCAATAAGCAACATCATGAGAGATAAAGATTGAACTTCTCCATAATTTAATTTTGCTTGAATTCACAATCAACACCCTTGGAACCAGCAGTCAAGAGATCAAAAAGGAAAATCTGCTGTCAAGAACCTCTCCAAAGTTCTAAGGAGCAATGGTATCAGTTTAAAGATGAAGGTGCTCCAAATTTAAGCCATGGGTGATATCTTGCTATGCATCTGAAAGTTGGACAATGAATAAGGATGACAGAACTGATACCTTTGAGTTGTGATATTGAAAAAGAGTACTGATTAACACATGGACTCCCAAGAGAACAAACATATATGTTTTGGAGAAGTGCAACCCGGGTGCTCCTTGGAACACTTTGCCAAGATGGCTAAGATTCATTGCACATATTTTGGACATGTTGGCCGGTCCTTGGAAGAGGCCATCATGTTTGGGAAGGTGGAGGGTAAGTGAAAGAAAGGAAGACCACTGGTGAACTTGCTATAACACAGTGTTATACAGTGACTGTAACAATGGACTCAAATATGTCAGAGATAATGAGAATCATGCAGGATAGGGCAACGGCCAGATAGATCTGTTCTTCGCAGGATCACTCTGAGTCGTATTGACTCAATGGCACCTCACAACAACAACAATCAGCCCACAGATCTGAGAAGTAGGCTGTATTAAACCCATTTAATAGATTAAGAAACAGGTATAGGTAGGGCTTGCTGCTTGCTGTTTCTCCTCTAGAACCAGGCCAGGTTGTTTGCAATAAATGTGGGCAAGCTTTGTAATAAAATCTAGGACATGAAAGGTGTGCTTGCATTTTCAGCATAATTAGGCCAATGTTATTATTAGATTGAATAAGATTAAAGTCATATTATTTCTTGGTTTTAGGTGCCATCGAGTTGAAAACAACTCATAACTGAGCCTCCAGTGGGTTTTCAGAGAGAGGAGAGTGTCCATCCTTCTTCCATGGAACAGCTGGTGGGTTTGGAATTGTGAGCAGGTGCATGCCTTTGGGATTGTAGCACAGCTTCTTACCACTAGGCCACCAGACGCTCCTCATTTTATTAGAAGAACATATTTTTCCTGAGAACTAAAGGAGCTGGTATTTTCAGGATGGAGAATTATGTTGGAATTTAGCCTGAGTAGTACAATGGTGAAGAACTGACTGACAGCTGGCCCTCGGGAGAGAGGGTTTCAGAGGCAGTTAATCACAGGGAGGAGATTGTCCATCCTTCTCCTGTAGAGGAGCTGGTGGCCTTGAACCTCATGACTTTGGGTTTGTAGTGCAGCTTCTTGCTACTAGGCCACCAGAGAGTCTTCTCAACTTTGCCATTCTTGTTATTCCCTAACTTTGAGTAACAGCTTGATGTTAGTTATGATTTGGAGACCTAAGAGAGCAAGGTTCACATTTTCCATTCATTTCTACCCTCAGGCTAGAATGGTGGTGGCTACAGGAAGGGACTGGTGGTTCTGGAGCTCAGATTTTAAGAATGGTGAAAATTGAGATCATACTGTGTGTGTTAAGTTCTAGAGAGTCTGGAAGCCTAGCCTTAAATGGTAAAGTAACAGGCACAGTGAAGGATGGATTTGTAGAATACGAACACTTTTGAGGATTTCTACACTTGTCTGGGGGCGAGCGGTAGGGCTCATTCCAGGCTTTTTCTGTGGTTGAAAATTTGTTCTATGATTGACTGACAATTAAGTAGAACATGATCTTTAATTTCAGAGGGAGGATAATGAGAAGCGCTTCTGGCTGGTCCTGCTTAGGAGGCTTTTCCATCTTGAAGTTTCTGGGAAGCCTTCCTCTAGGAGTTCTACTTGTCCCTCTCTCCCTTAGCACGTGGTTCTCTTTTCTCCAGCTCCCTCAGAACTCTGCATACATCTTTATCATAACAACAAATTTGGGAGGGTGGAGGGACAGCTTAGGAGAGGAAGACCCTCGAAAAAATGGATTGATTCAGTGACTGGGGTAATGGGGGTAGGTGTGTTGGAGACAGTAAGCTTGACACAGGATAGAGAAGGGTTTAGGGCTGTTGTACTATGAGTCACTATGAGTCGCACGCGACTCGAAGTCACACAAGAACAACCACCACCATGTACTTATAACTTGTACATGTCTCTTCTAGAAGACTGTTATCGAGGGTGAAAGACATCAGAGGGCGCTGGACATCAGACCTGGGCTCAAATTCCAGCTAGCTCTATTATCTTGGGTGGGTTATTTAAGTGCTCTTAGTTTCCTTGTTTATAAAATAGGCCTGTACACACGCATGTTTATTGCAGCTTTGTTCACAATAGCAAGGAGTTGGAAACAACCTAAGTGCCCATCAACAAACGAATGGCTAGAGAAGCTGTGGTATATTCGCACAATGGAATACTATGCTGCATTAAAAAACAAGGAACTCATGCAATATTATTCAAAATGGTTGACTCTGGAGAACATTATGCTGAGTGAAATATCCCAGTCACAAAAGGACAAATATTACATGATGCCACTGTTGTAGAATGGGACTGTCCTTGGGGTTGGGGAGAGACTGAGTAAGATGGGTTCAATAATGTATACTGCACTGAAACAGAGGAGGGAGAGAACCGTCTAAAAGAGAGATGTAACTGGGTATTTCTGTCATCACAGGAGACTAGAGCGAGGGCTGCATGGTGGAGGGGACCTGGGGGAGTGTTTGTAAAACAATGAAAGAATCTTTTCTTTTACTTTTCCATAATTTTTGGACTCATGTACTTATAACTTGTTAGTCAAATTTGTGTCTTCTAGGTTGCAACACCCCCATGATACATCTTGAAGGATATGTACATGTACAGCCAAGCACAATCAATAAGAGTGCATCTGAATTCCAAAATCAATCTCCATAATAGTCTATGTGTTTCCTACTGCCAAAGGGGCCCTTTAGAGTAGTGAGAGAAGATCTTCACCCTGAAACCCACAGCGTCCCTTTTCAGCAGGAGGTGGCTGGGAGAATGCGCCGTCCCCTTTTCCTTATGACTCAGGGTGAAGTCTCTCTCAGGGAGGAGTGATAGGGAATGGCAAAGGATACACTGACAAAGAAGATTAATCAGAACTGGCTTTGACAAGCACTGTGGCATTTGGACAAGAACAAACTGGGAGGAGGGTAGAGAGAATAGTGCAACAATGAATGAGTGGAAGCCCAAAATCTCTGTAAATGTTTATGAAAATTAATAAAATATAATTATAGAAAAAAAATAAAATAAAATAGGCCTGTAGTTGCTGAGAAAAATGAAGGCGACAATGCTAGTAATGTTTCCAGGTATACAATATGTACAAATTATTAGGCAACGAGCCGGTGAACATTTACTAATTGTTGTTGTTGTTGTTATGTGCCGTCGAGTCGTTTGCGACTCACAGCGACCCTATGTACAACAGCCCTAAACCCTGCTTTATCCTGTGCCAAGCGCATTGCCTCTGACACACCCATCCCGATTACCCCAGTCACTGAATCAATCCACCTCATAGAGGGTCTTCCCCCCATGCGCTGTCCCTCCACCCGCCCAAGCATGATGTCCCTCTCCAAGGTCCTGTCTCTCCTTACAACATGTCCAAAGTATGTCAGGCGAAGCCCCAGAATCCTTGCCTCCAAGGAGCAGCCTGGTTTAACCCTCTCCAGGTTGAATATGTTTGTTTTCTTGGCAGTCCAGGGTACATTCAATACTCTTCTCCAGCACCACAGCTCAAAGGCATCAATTCTCCTTCTATCCTCCCCAGTCATTGTCCAACTCTCTGATGCATAACAAGTGATTGCAAAGACCATGGCCTGTATCAGGCGCACCTTAGTCTCCAGAGAGAGACACCGTTGCTTAGCTAGGAATAAAATATTAATTGACAAAGTGGCTCAAGCATAGCACAGAAGCGATTGGGAGGAAGTGCAGGATCGGATACTGTTTCTGCGGCACAGAGATAAGGTGCTAAGAGTCGGCAGTGATTTGTCTGCACCTAAAAACAACTGTTATTTTATACACGTAACATTTACTGAGCTCATCTTAACTGTGTTTCCGGCAGCAGGGAGCGCCTTCCCCGGCGTACACGCCCTCACGTGTAGCCTGTGGGCCTTGTCCTGCGTCCGGTCTCGCGACTGGCTCCACCAGAAATAAAACCCCGCCCACAGTCTTCCCAAGCTCACTAACGATTGGATGAGGACCCGCCCACCGGCGTTTTTGTTGCTAGGCTCTGGAGGCGGGGCTCCAGCCCTGGGGCAGGCTCCTTTCCGGTCGGGCGGGAGGAGGTGACGTCGGGAGCGGTGGCAGGCTGGGGCTTCCTCCAGGCCTGGAGACGTTTTATCTGTGAGCCGTCGTATTACGTCACAAGTCAGCGACTGTGCCTTGGTGGTTGTGGCCGAGGCAGTGAAGGCGGCAGCGGCGGCGACAGCTCTGGGGGTTGCGTCTCGGGGTGTGTCGGCCGCCGCTGCTGCTCGGGCCTGGTATGTACAAATGGCTGGTTAGAATTCTCGGCACCATTTTCCGTTTTTGTGACCGGCCGGTGCCCCCTCCCCGGGCGGTCCTGAAGAGGCGACGCTCGAACAGGTGAGTCCAGAGGAGGCTGAACACCAGCTAGGCCTGGCTGTACCACACCCCTCACCACTCCCCGGGTTCCTAGCCGGGATCGCCCCGATCCTGTCCGACCCGCTGTGCCCTCCCGAACTGGGTCACTGGACTGAGAATCTGTGCAGGTCGCGGGTATCCTGGTGACGCCACTCCCTCGACGCTGGGAGGATGCAGCTTCTGATCAAGGAAACAGCCTGGGAGAAATAGACTTTCAAGGGGCTGGTGATAGCAAAAGGCTCTTTAATGTTGTCAGAGTCTAAGCTATTTACTGAGCAATCAGACTTTGTCGTATTTTACTACCTTTATGCTGAAAACTAAACATTGATGGAATGCTATCCTTGCCGTTTACTGATGACAAAAGACAACCCGAAGAGTTCTGACCATAATGGTAGTTGCAGAGAAGTGAGATTCATGGCTTGTTCAGAGAGACAGGAGCTGCCTTTTTCGGAGAGAGTGTCAAACACTGTGCGTGGCCCATGTTGGAGTGGTTATACGCTTTAGGATGAGTGTATGAGACAGGAAATTGGATGCTTCATTTTATAAATTTTTTTTTCTTTTATAAATTTTTTAAAATGCTTTTCTTTAGAAAGATTACTAGTCTGCAGGGAACCCCAAAACTGTTATTATTTAGCATCTCCTCCTTGCAGTGGTCCCTCTCTTAACAGTTTTTCTAGAAAATGAACTCACAAATTCTATATCCGCTCCTTCCACAACTTTTAGTGATAGAAAGTGTGTGGGGGGCAATAGTGACTTGAGGGAGCTGAGAGATCAGACAATGAATACAGGAGTCTGACAGTGCAGGTCATGGATGCAGTTGGCTCCTGGCCAAATTCCATCCCCTTCTCCATATTGATGGAAGGTTTGTTTAAGATCATGTTGTAAAGTGCTTAATATGCTTAAAAAGTAAAAGAGTAGAAATTGTTTACCCTCAAGGCTTTTTTTATATCTGGGGCATAGTATGGCCCAAAGGTATTATCTAAGAAAGATGTTCATTTCCGCTCATCTTTCTTCAGTTTAATCCCTGCTAGTCAGAACAGTGGCTTGAAGATCGAAATTCTGTTCTTTACCTCCAAAGTACTCATAGCCTTGCTCTGAAACAGTTGTTCTCAGCATAAGCTATATTTCCATCAAAAAGAATTCAAAAGGGCTTGTTGGGATGTTTAAAGTTAGGAAGTGATTGGTATCTTCTGGATTGAACCTTTAATAGTATTAGAAACGTTCTTAGAGAATATGTTAAAAAATGTGTCTGAGTTTGCATGCTTTGATTACCCCTATAATAAAGTTTCTGTGATAACAGTAGTTAAAAACATCCTTTTCTGGCTAAGAATTACCTTTGAAGATTGATTGTATTTATCATCTGAAGTAGAAGATAGCTTTCTCTTAGGTTATCTTTCAAAAAGAAGTTGCTTAATTTTAAAATGTTTTCTGGAGAGAAAAAGAGAAGATACTAGTTCTGGGTTCTTACCTAGGTTTAGGTATGACCTGTTTCAAGTTTGTATCTCAGCTTGATTGCGTATTATGTGGTTGGGAGTTTTGAGTCTCTAGGAATAGTAACATTAAGTCCTAAAATACTAAAGCCCTGCTGGTGTCTCCATTAGGCAAAATTGATTAGATGGCATTTAGCAACATAGCAATGTATTCTCTTCTAAAACATCAGTTGGATCTCATGATAAAATGGATGGAAGAGAGTGTGTTGTATGTTACTTAAAGAAATGAATGCTTGCATATATATGTATGCATATATGTATATATTTTTTTTTCTGCCTGATTCTCTTTTCAGCAGTCTGTTTCCCACAGTGGACACTGATGAAATACCAGCCAAAAGACCAAGATTAGGTACTGAATATTCATTTTAAAAATTATTTTTCTAATAAAAATATATACTTGGAACAAAATTGAAAATGAATGAAATGTCTTTTCTATCTGTTATCTACTGAATTATCTTTTCTAGAAATAAACATTGTTACCAGAGACTGGGTTGAGCTTACATATGTCAGATATTTATTTATTTTATTGTGTGTGTGTGTGTGTGCGCGCGCGCGCGTGCATGTACCGTCAAATCAGATCTGACTGGTACAGGAGGAAATTGTCCCTCCTCTGGCAGAGCATCTGGTGGATTTGAACTGTATACCTCTGGGATTGCAGTACAGCTTCTTGCCACTAGGCCACCAGAGCCCCTCCAGATATTTATTTTTAAATTTTAAATCTTCCTATAAAGGAAGGATGCTTTTTACTTTGGAGGGTGAAATGTTATAAAAAGAGAATGATTTATTTCAAACTTCTGAGTGAAAAACAGCTATTGTATTGTCAGAAGTCTTATACTTTCTCATAGGGAAAGGTAGATAAGATTTGGTAAATAATAAAAACTAAATTAGAGTTAAAAAGAATTCAATTCTAATACAAGCTGTGACATGGATGAACCTTGAAACCATTATGCTAAGTGAATTAAAGCAGACACAAAAGGACATATTATATGGAATATCTAGAATAGACAGATATATAAAAACAGAAAGTGATTACCATGGACTAGAAAAGGAGAGAAAAGGGAGTTACTGTTTAACATGCACAGAGGGTGATGGAAAGTTTTGGAAACAAATAGTACCGATGGTTGCACAATATTGCGAATATTGTTAATGTTGTAAACTTGCAGATGGTTAAGATGAAAAATTTTATGTGAAAAAAAAGGAAAAATTTTATGTGTGTTTATCACAATTAAAAAAATTATGTTAGAATAAAGGGGAAAAGGACAATGGAACATTGTAATAGTATATTACTTTTTTTCCAAAAATGACTATAAATTTGAGTCTGCCTTCAGATATAGTAACTAAGAGCAAATAGTGTTAATATTTCCTTTAAATGGAATAAATACTTACTGAACATGTCTTAAGGATAAGAGTATGTTAGATTCTAGAAGAAGTACAAAACCAATTTAAATGGGAGGCTTTATTTTTAAGGACCTTAACTGACTTTCTGGTTTACAGTTGTAGGGGTACATGATTATATTAAAGGAGTATAATGCAAGCATGTAAAAACATCATATGGCATGAAGGATATAATAGATGAAGTAAGAAAGATTAACAAAATGTTCTTCAATTTTCAACTGTTTGAGAGTCTCAGTAAATGTTAGATCCATAGTTAACTTGTGAGATGAGTCTTGAAAGATGCATAGGATATCAACAGACAGCAGGAGGGAAAAAAACTAATTCAGGCACAGGGGACAACAGATGGACAAGTTGTACAAATTTGAAAAACTGCGAGACCATATGTGTCTCCTGGCTACTATACCGAACAGTAGAGCTCTAAGGATTTCTTTTGAGAAAATAAAAAGCAAGACGAAGAGAAAAGAGAACCTTAGAATCCCAGACTCATGATTACAGGTGAAAGGAGATTTAACTTAGTCTAGTCTTAGGAAAATAATAAGATGGTCTGAACCTGCTTTATATTCCTCATTGGCATGAGTAGTTAAGTGCTGTTCTACCAGTAAAAAGGTTGGTGATTCAATTTCCCAAGAGGCACCTAGCAAGAGAAACATGGTGACCTGCTTCTGAAAGGTCATACAACCTTGAAAACCCTGTGTTCTTCCCTGCACATAATGAGCTCACTGTGAGTCACAGTTGACTTGATGGTACCTACCAACCAACAACATCCTCATTTTACACTGGAGGCAAACCTGCCTTCTTCGCTTGTTCCCTTCCTCCTTTGATAAGTGTAATGTTTGTGTTTTTTTTACATAATCTCAGGGAATACCTAGATTTTGACAAAATGTCTAAGAAAGTAAACATTACTTTTTTAATGGCTAGCAATTATTATGCTCTATAGAATACCTCTTGCTCTCAAGACTTTTAACTGGCAGTTTGTTTTAGGTACCAGTCCTTTTCCCACCCACTAAAAAGAGCACAGGAGATTGTTAGGGAGAGGGTGAAATATCATTAGAGGAATAATCTGTACTGTAATTCTCTTTAATTCCTAAAATGAGAAACAAATTATTTATAAACTTTGATACTTTTAGCTATTCTTTGGTAACAAAATATTTCACATTCTGGGAAATAGATATTTTAATATATTGTTGAATGCTTATTGCTCAAAACCACCATTTTTAGGCCATTTTTTCCCCTTAGAGAAGATTTTGCAAAGGCCAGTGCATTATAGGCAATAAATCACTATCTTCAAGTCCTTGCTGACTTAGGGACACTCTTATTAGGTTTCCAGTTCCATAAATCTTAATGGGAGGAAACTTTTTCCCATGGAGGGGATGGTGGTTTCAAACCACTGAAAACGTGCAGCCCACAGAGCTCCCTAAAGAGTGCTTTAGAATACCCTTAATTAGGAAATAGAAAGGGGGAAAAAATTTAAAAAAAGAAAATAGAAAGGAAAAAGTAGGAAGCTTTAACCAGAGATTTAAGGAGTAAGAAGGAGGGTATAGTGCTGAAATCTTTCTCTTGCCCTTGTAGTACATTACCATCTTGTTTATGATAGTGTGGTGTAAATCTGACATCTTCTAACACACCTTCTGCAGTGGAGAGATGACATTATTTTATCACACTTGATTAAGAGCCTTGTCTTGTACTTTATTAATTTACCCTCTTCCTTACTGGGATATACTAATGCAAACAAAACCACGGCTTTGAGTTGATTTCATAGCAAGTCTGTATTTCCAACGTTGTAAAGTAGATTATCTCATCTGTCTCACTGGTGGATTTGAACGTCTGACTTTTTTGTTAGCTGCCAAATCCTTCTGGTTGTCTGGTTATGTTCCTGTCTCTCTGACAAATATTATTTAATGGCTGTTTCAGGCTTTTTTAGGAGTGGAGGGAAACCAATCAGCATGTGATCTACTGAGGTGATAATAGTCAAAACAAAAATGAAAATTCTGGAATTCCAGTTATCCAGCTTTAAAGAATTATCTTGTTAGATACATTTCTATCTCAATGATGGAAAGTAGAACTTAGAATAAAAATTAAGAGAATCTGATATGTAATATCTCTTTTTTTTTTAAAGTATTTATATTTTGTAACCACTTTCTAGATTGCTTTATTCACCAAGTCAGAAACAGTCTCTACAATGCTGCCAGCTTGTTTGGATTCCCATTCCAGATAACTACAAAGCCCATGGCAACTTCTGCTTGTAATGGAACACGGAATGTGGCCCCTTCAGGAGAGGTCAGTGGAGATAGGGCTCTGCTTGTATTTAATCATTAAAGTAGAATTGTGGATGAATGACTGGAAACCCTAAGTCTCTGTAAACTTTCATAAAATTAATAAAAAGAAAAAAGTAGAATTGTAGAAATATTACCTTTTTTTAGGAATTAATATGTAGAATGACTTCTTTCTAAAGTTCATATCATTATAGTCTTGATAAAGGTCAAGAAATTAAACATTTAGAAAAGTACTTATTTATAAAGAGCCTTATGTTTAATGCATCAGCTTTCCTTAAGTGTGTGCGAAGAACTTGGAATTGTTAATATCATTTTGTGAGTATAGACAAACCTTGCTCTTAATAATGATATCTTTTCTGTTTTCTCAGCTTAGATAAACATAAGAATGCTCTGGGTGGTGGTGGTGGTTGTTTTTTGTTTGTTTTTTTTTTAATGACATACTTAAATTACAAAATTTACAAAGGTGATTCTTTTTGGTTTTAAGGTATTTTCAAACTCTTCACCCTGTGAACTGACACGTTCTGGATCCTGGAACAACATGCTGAAACTGGGTGAGGTGGTCAGAAATACTTTTGCTTGTCTGTCTCTCCTTCTGCCCCTTATTTCCTGAGATTTGAGATTATAAAAAGAGAACACTGATTTAGGATTGAGATGAGAACAAACATATTAATACTACCATTCAAAAAAGCAAATGAGTTTCCTTCAGAATTGTTGTATTTAAGCTTACTGTATTTACAATTGCTCTTAATTTGACTTATATCAGAGTTTGTTCCTTTAAAAAGAAACCCACCAGAAAACCCCCAGCATATTCAGGGATACTTTGTGCAAGGCACTGTGCTAAGTTATCAAGGAAAACAAAATAATAGAGCTTGTTATTTAGTTTGGGAGCAACCACAAGTCCACAGTTCACACAGCATTATGCGTTAGAAACCTCCATATTATCCTTCTTATTGCTAAGTGCTGTCAAGCCGGCTTCAACTCATACTTACCCTTTGACCACAGAATGAAACTTTGCCCAATCCTGCGCTATCTGTTGCAGTCATTGTATCGTCCATCTCATTGAGGGCTTCCTTCGTCCATCTCATTGAGGGCTTCCTTCGTCCATCTCATTGAGGGCCGCCTTCTCCTTTGCTGACTATACTTTTCTGTCCATAGTGTCCTTTTCCAGACATAAGTTCCTCCTATTAACACACCTAGAGTATGTGAGAGGAAGATTCACCATTCTCAGTCATCCTAGACCTTGAAAGAGAGGAAGATTTCACCATTCTCAGTCATCCTAGACCTTGAAACTGGAGTGCAGTTATTATGGTCTTTACGACACAGATGAGCTTAAACAGTTTAAGAAGTTACAGAAAATGAGCTTGTATAGCAGTTGTTGGTTAAAAGATCAATGAGGAAGAAACTAAGGAAGTGATAAAAATGTTAAGAGTAGTGCTTCTCTGGTGGCTTGGTGGTAAGGAGCTGCACTGCCAACCCAAAGGCACATGGTTCAAATCTTTTAGCTGCTCCAAAAGAGAAAGATGGATAGTCTCTTCCCAGTGCAATTTACTGTTTCTGAAAAACCCTTGGAGGGTCAGCTGTGAATAGAATCTGACTCAGTAGCATATATTCAGTATTCTTTACAAAGATCACAATTCAAAGGTATTGATTCTGCTTCAGGCATCTTTATTCATTGTCCAACTTTTAGATGTATAGGAAACAACTGAAATACCATGGCTTGGATCAAGTGCACTTTACTCTTTAAACTGATATCCTTGCTTGTTAGCACTTTAGACATATCCTTGACAGCAGATTTTTCCAGTATGACACATCTTTTGCTTTCTTGACTGCTGTTACCATGGATGTTGATTGTGGATCCAAGTCAAATGAAATCATTGGCAATTTCAATCTTTTCTCCATCTGTCATGTATTGATTGTTGGTCCAGTGGTAAGGAATTTTGTTTTCTTGCTGTTGAGGTAAAGGAACTCCAAATTGATAAACTGTTTATCCTTTCTAATCCCTGCTCTGGCACAGATGGGACTGATAACAGTCTCCTTACACTTTTAAAAAAATTATCGTTGTTACTTTTATGTACCATAGAGTCAGAATCAACCCATTACTTAATCTCACTGGAGGATATTGCCCATCTTCCTTTCATGGAGCGTCTGGTGGAATTGAACTAAGTGCCTTCAGGTTGACAGCTCACTTTGTTACCACTAAGCCACTAAAGCCACTAGAATTCCCTACAGTTAGAGTGGTCACCTCAAAACTGTTGAAAGTTTTCAGTGAAATGTAGTAACTTTCCAGTAAACTGGCTTTTATTTTTAACTGCTTAAGAAAAAACCTGGTAGTTGTTTTTCTTGTGAAGAAGAAAGTAAAATCAAACACTTTGCTCAAATTGATTAGATTACAGAATATTTGACACATAAAGGTCCTTTATGGGTTTGTGTCAGCACCAACAAAAACGAGAGTTTGACTCTGAATCCTGTTATTGCCTGTCTGTTATCAAAGGTGAACCAAGGACTGTTTCCTTCCTTAACTTTCACAAAATCTGTTGATTTTATTCTGTATAGTAATAGAATTTGAAAAAGGGAGACACTTAGGCTTCTATAGTTCAATTTCTTCCAGGCTTTTGGGCTTTTTCACAATTACAAATGTCTTTTTAAAAAACCTAGGTAATAAGTCTCCTAATGGAATAAGCGACTATCCAAAGATCAGAGTGACAGTAACCCGAGACCAGCCACGCAGAGTCCTACCTTCTTTTGGGTAAGTGTTAAATTCCTTTTTGGTAATTGGAACCTTAACACTTGTAAGGCACTCACATTTGATAGGCCTTTACTTTTGCTTTATTATATAATCCTGTGAAGTAAGTATTCTGGCACACAGCTAGGGAGAGACTTGAAGTCAGTTATGTATTACTTTTTGGATCATATTGTGTTCCTATCGCACTTTCTTACAAGCTTTTTCTTTTTAAAGTATAATATGACACAGGAAAGTAGGATTTCAGTGACCTCCAACTCATTGTGATTCTATGTACAGCAGAACTAAACCCTGCCCAGTCCTGCACCTCTTATAATCTCTACTGTACTGAAGTCTATTCCAGGGAAAAGATATTATTTTCAATTTATAAAGGCTTGTTTTGTGGCCTGGAATACAGTCTTATCTGGGTGGTGCTCCATGTACAGAATGTGTTTGGAGGCGTGTTCTATAAATACCAGTTAGGTCAAGTTGGCTGAAAATGTGATAATGTTTTTTCAGGTCTTCTCTCTCCCTTTTTTGATTGCCAAGTTTAAAGTAAATTTTCTACTATAAGTATAAATTTGTCCTTTTTTCTTTTCAGTTAGGTTTTATTTTACATGTTTTGCAAATTTCATGATTTGAAGTTCTCTTTTGGGTAAATACCCTTCATCCATATTAACTAATTGTTGTTATTTTGTCACATTTGCTTTGTCATTTTCTTTGTCATTCTCTGTCATATATACCTTTTTTTCTTACTGAACCATTTGGGAATAAGTCTTAGGTTCATCCTTGATTACCCTAAGTACTTAAGTGTGTTTGTTTTTTAAGAATGAAGGCATTCTTTTACATTTACATATCTATACATTACCAAAGTAAGAATTTTCAAAATCAGGAATTTAACATTAATATCAGTACTATCATCTAATTGATAAAACTGTCAATTATTGCCACCCATTTGGAGCTGACTGATAACTGACCCTCTGGTGAGTATTCAGAGGCTGTAAATTGCATGGGAGATAAATGCCCATTCTTCTGCAGAGTCTCTGTTGGGTTTGAACTGCCAGAGAGGCATTGCCTCTGATTTAACAGCACAAATCTCTACAGATTAGGCCATCAGAGCTGCACTCTAATTGATAGGTCTTATTCATATTTCTCTGTTGTAGTTAGTTTTTCCCCTGATCCAAGGTCCAATGTAGAATTATGCATTGCATTTAATTTTCATGTTTCTTTGATCTCCATTCGGAACTGTTCTTAATATTTTCATTGTCTTTAATAGCACTCTTATTTCTGAGGAGTATATATATAACATTTCTTTTGTAAAATATCCCATAAAAAATTTAATTTTGATAGCTACTCTTTTAAGAAAATTTTAATTTTATACTGATTTACTTACAAAGTTTGTATACATTGTTTTTACACCAGATCTTTCCCATCAGATTGTGCGACCTTGTGATAACCCCCCTGCCCATCCTCACCCCTCTACAGCCCCATGCCCCCCTTGGATCCTTATACATGTTTTACTAGTTATCTTTGATAGTTACTCTTGATTTGAGTCACCTGATGTAAGGTTTTTGTTTTTTTTTTTTAAAAAAAGAGACTTTGGTAGTGTGATCTGTAGGGCATTGCTCTGCTAACCCAAAGGTCAGGCCTCTCTGCTGGTTCAAATCCACCAGGAGCTCCTGGGGAAAAGATGGGCATGCCTCTGCCTGTGTGATATAAATCCTTTAAAAATCCACTGGAGGATCAGTCATGAGTCATTTCCTTGATGGCAATGAGACATAAGTGAAGTTGTGCTGTTTTTTTTTTTCCAAAATGAGGCAAGATGTCACTGTGTCCCAATGATTGAAAAAGTAGGTTCCAGGGTGGTGAAAGGTTGTGAAAGGATATAGACGTTAAACAAATAATCACACCAATAATTGATTCTAGTGGGGCAAAGTGACTAAAAGGAAAGCAAAGTACTAGAGAGGCTTCTGTGTAATATGGGAGTTAAATGTGGAATTGAAGTTAGGAAGTTGGGTATATGGAAGAAGACAGAGGCTTTCAAACCTGGAGTGCCTTCAGACCTGTGGTTGGAACAAACTTCTGAAAGGGGTTGTTGTCCAACTGGCAAGAAGAGAAGCTTATCCTTGGGCTACTACCCAGTTTAATCTCTTTACAGTATAGAAGCTTGAATTCCAGCACTTTGTTGATGCTGGCTTTTGTTTTATTTTCTCTCAGTTTTACTTTAAATTCTGAATCCTCTAATAGAAGACCAAGTGGCCGCCGCCATAGCAGAGGCAATCCAGAGAGTCCCTTAATGTGGAAACATCAGGAGCAATCAATAACAGAAATGACTTCTGAAGACAGTGGCAAGGGTGTGAGGCGTCCCCATTGTACTGTGGAAGAGGTAAGATTTTTTAAAAGATATTTTACTATTACTATTCTTTTGGAAAAAATATTTGTGTACTATCTGCTGTCATGGACTTCTCCAGAGTGCTGAAAAGCACAATGCCAGTTTAGAGACAAAGATACACCTAATCCAGGCTATAGTCTTCTCAATTATTTGTTATGCTTCAGAGAGCTGGACAATGACTAAGGATGACAGAAGAAGAATCGATGCCTTTGAGTTGTGCTGGAGAGAGTCTTGAACATACCCTGGTCTGCCAAGAAAACATATTGGTCTGTCTTGGAGAGGGTAAAACCAAGTCTTCTAGGAGGCTAGGATTTTGAAGCTCCATCTCACATACCTTAGGCACAAGGCCAGGAGAGACTGGTCCTTGAAGAAGGACATCATACTTGGAAGGGTGGAGGGACAGCGCAGGAGAGGAAGACCCCTGAGGAGGTGGATTGATACAGTATCTGGGGCAATGGGGTGTGTCAGAATTAGTGATACTGGCTCAGGACAGGGAAGGGTTCGGAGCTGCTATATATAGGGTCACTATACATCCCAGACGACTCAATGGCACATAACAACAAAAACATACTATATTGGTTGTTTTTTATTTAAGCCTCTTGTTCAGAGTCAACAAGACCTTGAGGAGGGCCTTTGTTTATAAGTTGGTTGTTATATTTTGGAGGAACATTCTTCTAAGTGGTACTGCACTCTTATATGCCGTACTGAAGTAACCTGGGGTTGCTGTAATGCTGAACCCTGTGCCATTGGGGTGTCAAATACCATAATGGTTACCCATGGTGGACAGTGTTTGATGGAGCTCCCAGTTTAAGACAGATTTGGAAGAAGGAGCAGCATTCACTTCCTAAACAGCATGCCTCCAGAAACTCTTATGAACTTTGATAAATGACGATAGTAGTTATAGAAAGGCTTCAGACCTTTTGTTCATAGGGTTGCTGAAACATGCTTGACACGATGGCAATCAACAACAATAGCCAAAATTCAAAAGGCACAAGCTACCTTTTTATATCCTTCCAGAGGTATTTTTTTAGTGTAATTAGGCAGTTTATACATGTTGGTGTTGCTGTTAGGAAGAAATAGAAATTATGTTAGGAAGAAATTTAAAGATAAGGCAGAAGAAGTGATTCAACAAGGCATGGCAGTCATGGCCAACAGGATGCTCAAGAAAGGTCAAGGAACATAAAAGCCAAAAGATGTCCATTGGCTTAGACTATAAAAGGCAATTGTGGCTTTGGTGAGACCTGTTCCATTTAGGAAGTTGCATATTTTGAGCATATAAATAGATGATTTCTGATAAGTGCTTTTGCGGTTAATTCTGAAGTGAAAAACTTAGAAGTCATCTTAGATAAAGCAGATGATAAAAGTGAGTAATGTGGGCTGTACAGCTTATGTCCTGTGTTAAAAGGATAGCCGTGTAGGTCCTGATTGGTTGATTCCATTTTTCAAAGGCAAGATGTTTTGGGTTGTTTTGTTTTGTATTTCAAACTTGGCAGTTAATTTAAAGGTCATTCAAAGGTATTTAAAAGCTAACAAATAAAAACTACCTGTGGGCTTTATTTGTACTCTTAATCTCCGCTATGAAAAGTATTGATTTCTCATACTGGTATTTTTCTGTTATGCTAATTTAGGGTGTTCAAAAAGAGGAGCGAGAGAAATACCGAAAATTACTGGAGCGACTGAAAGAGGGAGGTCATGGAAACTCTGTTTCTCCTACATCCTCAAACCATCATAGGTAAAAATGAACTAAAAAGAGAAATGTTTTGTTATACATCTTTTTCATTATTTTTGACCGAGTTTGATAGGAATGGCTTTGCTGAAAAGGAAAAAAAAAAGCAATTCAGGAGCTAGCCCTGTGCTAGCCTGAATGTTTTATTGAATAATGGATTATACAGAACAGTGGTTTAAAGAGAAAAACTGTGTTAGCTTTAGAATCTTTTGTTCCAATGGATTCTTACTTAACATTCTGCTATAGCAAAGAGGACTTTAGAGAAGTCTGTTTTAGAGAAGAGGACTTCTAAACTCTGTGATTTGAAACAGACAGATTTCTCATTCTCTCCAACACACACACACTCACTGCGCACAGTGTAGGTCTCTTTTTGTGTTCCTCTCTCTTCCATCCTGCCCATTTCTGCTCCCTTCTTTCTCCATAGTTTCTTTCTGTCTCTTTCTTTTCCTTCCTCTCTCTCCGCCCTGCACCCCTCATTTGTATATGTGTGAATGACGAGTCCCCAAGGTATTTTAGTGGACATAATCTGAGCACAATGGGAAACTCTCCACTTAAAGATAAGACCAAGACTAAAGTCACCCAGGTCTTAAGAAGTATTCTTTGATGATTTGCACATATAGATGAGAATAACAGAAAAAAGCTGTCATTATACTCACCTGTGAGACAGGAGCAAAAAATGAGAAAGTCCACAAAACTTAGCTGATTGAGGTATGTATGATAATTTTAACAGTATTGTGGTAATACAGACAGATCCCAGAAATGATGTATTAGCAAATTGAAGGTAAAAAGGTAAAAGACTACATAGCTTACTAATAAAAAAATTATAGCTTACGTTATACGCTGTTTTTTTGGTTTGGTTTCGGTTTTGTGTTTTTAAAATTCTTTTAGCTCAGTTGGTAAGTGTGATAATGTTTTTTCTATTTTCACTCACCACTGTTGGAATCAGCACTGTGATTAATGAAGTATTGCTTTTATAAGATCAGCAAGATGCCCAAATTAATTTGTTTTTTATAATCCTACTTTTTGCATGTTGTTTTAGGATCTGTGGATATCATTTTACACTTTGTTTTATTCATTTGAAAGATTTAGTTTATTTATATGAGTCATCCCACATTCAGGTTTTATCTTCAGCACACCCTGACAAGAAAGATAATGCTAAGGATTGAAAATATTCCATTTCACACCTAGAGAAACTTGAAGACTAAGTAACTTAGCTGAAGTAGAGAAACTTGAAGACTAAGTAACTTAGCTGAAGTATTAGAATCAGAATTATTTTATTGTGAGATGTGCTGTCAAGTTGATTCCAACTCAGCAACCCCATGTAACAGACACCTTTGAACCATCATAGGTAAAAAAATAGTTTCCTTGGCTAGGTCTTTATGGGAGCAGATCTTCAGGGCTCTATCCTGCAGAGACACTGGGTTGGATACGTCAGCCTTCCAGTTAGCAGTTCAGCAGTGCTCCTTGAGAATCAGGGTTAGGCACTCTGCAGTCTGTCTATAATGGTGACTGAAACAGCAGGCTCAAGCATATGGGAGACTGTAAAAATGGCACAGCATAGAGCAAGGTTCAGATCTGTTGTTTGTAGGGCTCTGTTCATTGTGTCGTAGTTGACTGCACGGTACCTAACAATGACTGTGTTATGATGCAGCTTAATATAACAGGCTAATCAGTAGGCTTCAATTTGGATAATGAATGTTTATGGAAGCCTTTTATTTTGTATCTGATCATCCTTATCTTTTGTGTCTGGAAGTTATCAAAGAAGCCAGATGGATATGTTAAAGACCAGAGGCTGGGGGGATGAGCAGCATCATGGAATCAGAACAACTCAGTTTGTTCCAAAACAGTGTGAGTTCCCAGATTTTATCTTTTTTTAAAAAAAATATATTGATTTTAGTTCATGTTAGAGGGTGTATCTGAAACTGAAAAATGACATACCAATGAAAGATGACTCACCAACTTTTAAGCATTGTCAAACATCAAGCCATTTATTATTGGAGCTTATCCTGTTCCAGGGATTAAAGAAAAAAAGTTCTTTCGGTATGAAGTAGAGTCATAAAAATACCTCGTGATTATCATTCCTAGGAATCTGGGTGATAGTAACTGTTTTGTGATCATAAAATTAATTTCCTTTTATTTTCTTATTTCACACACAAAGTGTTTGCTAGATGAAAGTTTTCCCAAATGAGCAGAGACCATTTGCTTTAAGGATTATATTTAAAGAGCAAAGAGATATATAATTTTTAAACAACTTGGTTTGTAAAGAAGGTGCAATTCTTTGGAATTTGTAACATTTCAGTGTAAAGAAATGTCTTAATACTTGGGAAATGAAATTGAAATTCTAGTATAATTGGTTAGTAAAGGAAATGTTTATAATTAAAAAATAATGCTTTTTAATCTTCTCTTTACCATCCCCACAGATAGAATTGTTGAAACAAGGGGACCTCTATGTTCAATGAGAAGTGAAAAGAGGTATACACTAAGTATATGAGTGCATGTGTGCACACGCACGTGTGTGTGTAGATGCATATTTTTTTAGTAAGTTTTATTTGTTGAGTTAACTGTGTCTGAGGAATAGTGACTGTTCCTCAGCTCTGGTGACTGTTCAAGTGCGTGAATGCAGAAGTGGTTGAGCGTTTTATACTCCCCGGGCCTGGAAAGCTGTCACTTCCTTCTCAGGAATAGGAGTTGGGGAGCACTTGCCTCTTAGGCAGGAATGTAGATGGAGTGAGTATCCCTAGTGATCAGTATCCCTCATACAGGCATAGTTAAGTTTGTTCAACACACTTTGCTATTTTAGGTAATAATTTAGAGCAAAGATTGGTAAACTAGGACATCTTGTTTATCTGCCTGCTTTTATGAATAAAGTCCTGTTGGAACATCACCATGCATCTTCATTTGCCTATTAATGCTTGGCTGCTTTCACATGATAATGGCGGAGTTGAGAAGATTATACAGAAATTGTAAGATCTGTGGAGCCTAAAATACTTACTTTTGGTCCTTTGTAGAAAAAAGTTGGCCAGATTCTGGTTTGGAGGATTATATAAGTTTAAAGCAATTTTTGCTTAATATTACTAAATCTTCATTCTAAAACTAACCTAATATATAGTAACAAAACTTTACAATTTCAATTTTTTTCCCCTCAGATGTTCAAAAGGGAAATTTTCTGATACTGAGAAGACAGTTGGAATCAGAGTTGAAAATGAAGGTGTAAGTAGAAGCCCTAGTTACATTTTTTCCTTGGTTCCTTCCCTGACTTGGGTGAAAATTTTGGTGCTCATGATAAACAAGGTGGCCTAGTGGGTAGAGTCATACTCGACTTGATAGCACCTAACAACACCAGTGCATTCACTGACAAAGGCAAACGATTCAATTCCACAAGCTGCTGTGTGGGAGAAAGATGGGCACTGCTCCAATGTGATTTACAGCCTCTGAAAACCCAATCAAGAGTGAGCTGTGAGTCGTTTCTGACTTAACAGCAATGAGTTAAGAGAATATACATTACTTTTATTTCCAGTTTCATTGTTCTCTTAGAAAAGGAGCAGACATAAAGATATGAAACTTCCTGCTGGGTTATGACTTCTATGCAGGAGCTTCTTCATTTAGAAATTAAAGTCAGAGACCAAGTTGCCTCTATCCCAATCTTCGTTTCTACTGCTTGACTTCTTCTGGGGATTTAAAAATATCAAAAACAGAAACAAACCCCAAAACCAACAAATAATGTTATTAAAAGATGTGTCTTTAGTTAATAGGGAGTGATGAGTTCTTGAGGACTATTTTCAGAGTCAGGCTTCAGCTTTACCTGAAAATATTAGCAATCTTATGCTTAATTGGATTTTACATTTTCTACATGAGTTTGGAGAGAGAGATCATGCTTGGGAGAGTGGAGGATGGCCAACGAGTGGAACCAGGTAGATTGACACAGTGGTTGCTGCAGTGGATTTCAGTGTGTCAGAGATGGTGAAGATAGCATTGGAGAGGACAGGCTTCACATCTGTTCATAGGGGCCCTGTGAATCGTATTCTACTCAGTGGCACTTAACAATGATCATACAAATATTGGAATAAGAAGTGTTCTGTGATCTTCATAGTAGTGCCAATAATAGTGATAAATTTGACAAGCCTTTTGGCTACAAATCCAGTTTTCAAAGAAATATTGCTAAATAAAATGCAAACTTGAAGTTTAGGTTGTTAAACATTTTATAATGTGTGTGTAAGCTAGGGCATGTGTAAGTTAGACAGTGAGGAAGAAATACAAGCCTTTCCAGTCCCTGCTTCAGACACAGCCACCACTGCAATGTTGATGCATAAGAAGAACTTGATTGCCATATGTGAACTCCTTTTTAAGGAGGGGGTGATGGTGGCCAAGAACGATATTCACATGCCAGAGTACCCTGACTGGCAGACAAAAACATGGCAAACCTTCCTGTCTAGAAGGCCATGCAGAGTCTCAAGTCATAGGCTGTATGAAGGAACAGTTCTCATGGAGACATTCCTTCTGCTACCTTACCAAAGAGGGTACCCGGTATCTGCATGTTTACCTCCACCTGCCCCCCTGAGATTGGGTACACCGCCCTGCACCACCCCGTACCACAGCCATCCTGAGACTAGCAGACTACAACCTGAATGTCTGGAAGGTGAATGACCTGCAAGACTGACTCCAGGAGAGGCTGACAGAGACACATACAGACGGAGCACAGTGCCTCCTGGTGCCGACAAGAAAGCTGGGGCTGGGTGGGGTTGGGTCAGCAGCTGAATTCCAGTTTAGAGGCAGATTTGGTCATGGAGGTGGTCAGCCACCTCAGTAAAGTTGGAGGGAATTGTTTTGTGTTGAATTAACATGTAGCCAGAAAAAAAGAAAAAGACGAGAAGAATCAATGCCTTTGAGTTGTGTTGGTGAAGAGTATTGAATATACAGAATTGCCAAAAGAACAAACAAATCTGTCTTGGAGCAAGTGCAATTACGGTGCTCTTTAGAGGCAAGAGTGGTAAAACCTTATCTCACATGTCCAAAAGGGCCAGACCTTGGAAAAACACAGCACGCTGGGAAAAGTAGAGGGTTAGTTAAAGAGAGGAAGATCCTCAAAGATCCTCAGCGAGACAGATTGCAGTCACACAGTGACTTCAGTAATGGGCTTGCACATTACAGAGATGGTGAGGATGGGACAGGATAGGGTAGGATTCAGGTGTCTTGTTCAGAGTTGCTGTCAGGTGTGGTCAACTCAGGGGCACCTCACAGCAACTTTGTATTGAGCATCAGCTCGGTCAGGTTTATCTTCTACTGCACCTCTTCATGAGAATTGGTCTTAAGGTTTTCCCTTCTCTGTTGTTCCCAATGTCGTGTCGGAGTGGAGGAACTCTTTTGTCACCTGTGGTGTACAAGTCGATAAGGGCAGAGTGAAGGTATTTAATATCTGGCTGAGGAGCCTGCATTATAACCTGGGACTGGGGGGAGGTCCAACAGCTTCTTGAGTACAAGGAAATAAGGAAGGAATTGATTGGTACAATCAATTACCTTATGTCTTGTTCTGCTTTTTCTCAAAAATGCTTTTTCATCATATTCCTTTTAATTGGGCTAAATCTACTGCTTTCCAGTTGTATCCAACTCATGATTGGAATCTCCATATGGTCTCTAAGGCTGTCAGTCTTAATGAGAGTTAACAACTCATCTTTCTCCTGAAGATCAGGTGATGGATTTGAACTGCTGATCGTTGGGTTAGCAGCCCAGTATGTTGCACACTACACTACCAGGACTGCTTCTTAATTGGGATATAAGACTTGAAGATATTTTTTTCTTGTTAGAGCCAGCGAAAGGGATGAATATTCTAAGTTTTAAATTTTGATTTCCTGTGATCCTATGTTTTATGCATCATTTTGTATTCTCATTTGGCAATTTGTTTATTCTCTTTTCTAACAAGATAAAGGTACCATTTTGTATTTCATTTGCAATCTGTTTATATGTGCAAGTATGAACCATGTCGATAAAATATAGACACTTTTTTGATCAGAGGAGAGGACATCAGCTGGAGCCTGACCTGTCTGAAGAAGTGTCCGCCCGGCTCCGCCTGGGCAGCGGAAGCAATGGCTTATTCAGGAGGAAAATGTCAGTCCTTGAGACACGAGAAAAGAATTACTCGGGCAGAGAGAGAGAGAGAAGAACAGATGAGCTTCTTGAACTTACAGAGGTATTGTCCCTCGTGTTGCTCCAAGTAGGAGGCATGTTTCTAAATAACTTCAGCTATTTTAGACTTGAATGAATGTTTTCTTTTGAGAGCCTTATTCCGGGCTGGAGTAGAGAAAGGTGAATATATAAAAAAAATCTGTTTTTGTTCAGTCACCTTGGCTGTCACTCAGTTAGTGATCCATGAAGGATCACTAGGGGATAAGTTTGATGATCTGAAAATGTGAGTAGTCATAACTGCATGCATCCTGGGATATGCTGGATTCTTTCTAGATTTATTTTCCCAACCTTTAGTGGAAATCTAAAATCTCCATAAATGTTCATTAACATTAATTTAAAAAAATTTATAAAATAAAAAAGAATAGGTTAAATTAGATGCATAGGTTTGGCAGTAGGAATGAGTTCATTGCAATTGATGTGATAATGGTTTGCTTAAATGTCCTTTTCATTGACTATTGCTTTTGTAGATAATAAAAACTTACAGAAAACAAGAAAATTAACTTGCTTAGAAATTCTCATTTAATGTGTACAATCTGCATTTTGGCTTTCTCTCTACCATTGTCTGAACAAAACCTGCTATCAAGTAGTTTCCAGCTAATAGATACCCTCCGTTGAGTTTCCAAGAATATCAGTCTTTACAAGAAATAACTGGCCACCTTTCTTCAGAGCAGTCGGTAGATTTGAACTGCTGACTTTTGTTTAGGAGCCTGACTCATTATGAACTGTGGCACCAAGGTTTTTATTATCTTGCTTAAGAACACAGAACCTGGGGAGCTCTGGTGGCCTAGTGGCAAGGAGCTGCAACTATAATCCCAGAGGCACAGGGTTCGAATTCACCAGATGCTCTGCCGGGAAAAGGAGGGACAATCTCCTCCTGTACCAGTCAGATCTGATTTGACGGTACACTTACGCAAAAATAAAAACAAAACAAAACAAAACAAGAACACAGAACCAACTTGAACTCATTGCCATGGAGTTGGAACTAACTCCTTGCTGGCCCTACAGTGGGTTTTCAGAGGCTGTCAGTCACAGGGAGGGCCTGGTCCATATTCCTCCCATAGAGCGGCTGGTGGGTTCAGACTGCCAGAGTGGTTAGCAGCACAACTCCCTGCAGACCACACCACCAGTGCTCTTTGTCTTATTCCTCTTCATTGCTGCCCAGTTGGAACCAGCTCGTAACTGACCTTCATTCTGGTTTTCAGAGAAGATAAATCTCAGGGAAGGAGATTGCCTGTCCTCCCACAGAGCAGTCAGTGGACTTGAACCACCAGAAAGACATGACCTTTGAGTTAGCAGCATAGCTTTCCTTGCCACTTCTCAAATTCAGAACCAGATCTGCCCCCATCCAGTCAGTTCTGACTCAAGACAACTGCCCATGGCCTTTCTGAGTCTCTAATCTTAACTAGAGGAGACAGCCTCATCTTCCTTCTCAGGAGTGGCTGGTGGCTTCCGATAGCTTACCATTCTGCTGGCAGCCCAGTGCTTCACTACTTTGCCACCAGGCCGCCTTTGTTTAGTAGCTGGTGGGCAGTTTCTAGTCAGTACATAGATTGGAAGCACATATTCTTTGTTGGGCATGCACATGGAGAGAAAGTTCCATTAAAAAAAGCAACACTGTGCGGTGGAGGAAGCAGTATTAAGATAAGTGGAGGGAAGAAGTTTCCGTTGCATTTATAGATCCTTTTTTTTTTTTTTTTTTAAAGTGTTTAAGTGTGGTTTTGTTGTTTTATTTGGTTTTGTCCCCCTCCCACCCCCCAGAAGATCCTTTTTTTTTTTTAAATTTTTAGCTTAAATATTTATCTGCTTACCTCTTTAGAATAAAAAAGCTGTCTGTTGAACGAGGCTGCAATTGTTGCCTTGTTTTTCAAACTTCTGCCTTTCTTACTTTCTTTGTATCAAGTATTAATAGGGTGGCCTTTTAAATGCCCTAATTTTAGTATTTTGATATTTTAATATAAAAGTTAAATTAAGTGTTAAATAAGAATTTTGGTATTGTGAAAGGAACAAGGCTTGGAAATCAGACACACCTGGGTTCAGTCTTAGCTTTACCTTTAATAATTTTATGACTTGAATCATGTAACCTGAGTTCACAGGACTAGGACTTTGATTTTCTCTTCCATAAAAATTGGCAGTGATACCTGTCCCAAACTTAAGATTAATGATGTGCTTAATAAAGTAGCTATACTTTAAGTGTAAATGTTACTACTAATGTTTCTAGAAGCTAATAGCAAATGTATGTAGTGATAAGACCACTTAGTGGCCTGTTGTTGTTGTTATGTGTCGTCAAGTAGCCTGTGACTCATAGCGACCCTATGCACAACAGCCCTAAACTCTGCCCTATCCTGTGCCAATCTCACCATCTCCGACACACTTAATCCCATTACCCTAGTCACTGAATGAATCCATCTCATTGTAGGTCTTCCTCTCCTGCGCTGTCCCTCCACCCTCCCAAGCATGACATCCCTCTCCAAGGACTGGTCCCTCCTCCTTAGTGGCCTACATACCTGTTTTTGTATTTCAGTTTAGTTGTATTTTTTTTTACATGTATACTTTTTACTTTATATTGGTATGTGTTCAAAATTTGTATACATTTGTGTTTCAGTTGGTCTTTGATAGTTATACATTGTATTTTAGCTGGTCTTTGATGGTATTTTCCTCTGACTTTTCATAATCTGGTAGTGGTTCTGTATTAAATTAGCAATCTCTGGACTTTCTAATTCATTCAGGACATGGAAAAAGAAATCAGCCATGCCCTTGGCCACGGCTCACAGGACGAGATCCTTAGCAGTGCTTTCAAACTGCGCATCACTCGTGGTGACATCCAGACCTTGAGGAACTATCACTGGCTCAATGATGAAGTAAATTCACGTGTTTCTTTTCCACTTTAATTACTATGATGTTTAGTTGTTTGCTGTATTTCTATTAATAAGGGATTGATAAAGCAATTTCTTGCTTTATTTAAAACAAAAACCATTACATCTCTTTTTAAATTTTAATTATTTGCTGCCATTTTCTGTATTTTCCTCTTCTTTACCTATGCCTGATTTTATTCAACACTTCACTGTTTTATTTATACACCCTGGAGACATACAGTGAATGGAAGGACGGAAGCAGCCATTGATGCTTAATTTGGATGATTTCTTATAGGAGCCATTTTACATTTTTCAATAATACAGGCTATGTCAGTCTTGATAAGTACACAGTGTGTGTGTGTGTGACACACACACACATATATATATATATCTGTATTTCATTGGCTTGAAAACTTGACATTTGCTTCATTTGTTGTCTTATATCCTTAGATATTCAGCAAAAGCTGGCCCTTAGTTGTTTTTTTTTTTAATTTCACATTTGTATTCAACAAAATTGCCCTTTAATTCTCTTCCCCTATCACTCCAATAACCTGGCACCCTTACAGTAATCCTGCAGTGCCTTTATTTGAAGAAGAGTCTATATAATGAGCACATAGGGTTCCTTGTTGTTGTTTGTAGGCATTTTGACGTCAATTGACTCTTAGTGACCCCAAGTACAGCAGGTTGAACCCCTGCCCAATCCTGTGCCATCCTAGCATCCTCTACTTTGCTTAAGCCTGTTGTTGTGATCCTTAGTTGTTTTTTGATTTTTAAATAATACTTTTTGTTTTTAGTGAAAATTTACATAGCAAGTTAGGCTCCTGTTTGACAACTTGCACCCAGATTGGTCAGTGACGTTAGGTGTTTCTGTTTTCGTGTTCTGTCAGCGCGCTGTATGATTGGTTGTTCCACCTCCAGTGCTTTAGTTTCCCTTCCCTGTTCTTGTTTTGCTTTAGATTAAAGATGGTCCCTTTGGCCTCATACAGGTTTTTTTAATAGATCACTGAGATGATGGGGACCAACCTTTATTTTGTGCATCACTTGGCTTTTCTGCTAAAAGGTGATCTTGGGATAGTTTTGGTTTGAAGTAAAGAGTGTCACCACATGAACTTCAGCCTCCATTATTTCAAAAGAACTAGATGGTACCCAGCTTCTACTGTTGACCACTCCAAGATGACTAAACAGGAGAAAAATGTTGAACAAAACTCAGAAATTACAAAAATGTCCAGGACTCTGTTGAATGTCTATCTCTCTCCAATTTTCTCTCATTTGTACTGAAAATGTCTATCTTGTGCCTGTTCCACCTTTATGCTCTAGAAACAAATCCCTTGTGATCTAGATTTCACACATTCATAGTTGAAGATGAAATTGGCCTAAGGATGCAATACACTATATGCAATATAGATGACTCAGAACATGAGATTTTGGGCTGAGAGTTGATGTAAGACTTTGGGGATGATGTAATAGGAAAATCTGTGTGTTTCCCATAGGAAAAGAAAATGAATTTGTCAGGGCCCAAAAGGCAGAATGTTACAGATTTAATTGCATCCTCAAAAATATATGTTGTAGATCCTAATAGTTATGCCTATGGTTATAATACCGTTTAGGAATATGCTATATGTGTTAATGAGCCAAGACTAATGTAAGATGTGTTTTGGCTCAATCTCTGACCAAAAAAAATAATAAAATAAAGGAATAGATTAAGTAAGCAGAAATGGGAGAAGATAGATCTCGAGACAGATGGAAATCCCCAGAAATCAGTAAAATTGATGAGACAAAGACCTATCCCAGATCTGACATAGAGAAAGCCTTCCTTGAGTGCTGTGAAGAGTTCTAGCCTCCTAAATTGTGAGAAAATAAATGTTTGTTAACCCCACCTACTTGTGATATTTCTGCTATAACAGCATTAGATAACTAAGACAGTGAATCTCTAAAATGTAGGGACCAATTGGACAAATTTCCAAATTTATCAGTTATTATGTAAATCATTTCAAAAGCCTGTTTAGTATATGAAACCATTATTGTAGAATGAGTATAAGGGTCTAAAGGTGGGAGAGGGTGAAAGTGGAGGGATGAGGATGTTCAGGAGGAGGGAACGGATTAATCATGGAATTGTATCATTTGATGGATGGGGCGGTGAGGGAAATTGAAAGAATCTGTTCTGGAAAATAATGTATTCAAATTTTGTAAATCAACTCATATAATAATAATAAGAAAATAATTTTAAAAAAAGTTCAGGCTTCTGACCCCATAGAGCTTGAGGTATGAACTCCTAAACTGTAAACCGCATTAATCCTTTAAACCTATAACTAAATTTATCCCTGGGACTCAACTTCCTGCCAAACAATAGGCATGCTTGTCAAGTGAACAATAGCTCTGTGAAGGTACTCACTCCTTATTCCCTTCTAGTTCATTGATTAGGAAAATTAGTTCTGCAAGCTTGTTAGTGCAATACTTACCTGGGAGAAAGCTCAGAAGATGGGAGGAGATAGGTCAGAAGGATGGAGGGAAATGAGAATCACGAGGAGGGAAGCAAGCTGTTAGAGTGGAGGACATCAGAAACCAAAATGTGCACAGATGAATGTGTGGGAAACTGATTTGCAAACCTTACTCGAAGCACAAAACAATAAAAAATAGTATCTCTGCATTAGTCTCACGGAGCCTTGGTTCAGTTGTGTAGTCCTTTTTAAGAATTTGAGTTTTGTTTTGCATTTCCCTCCTATTCTAACCATAATTATCTATTGTGACCCAGTCAGATTGGTTAATGGTGGTAGCTGATTACCATCTGCTTCTGATCTCAGGGTCATTGAGCTGTTGCCTTTTGTAGGCTGTCAGTCCTGTAGACTTGTAACTTCTCGGAGATTTGAGTTACCATCTCCTTTTTTGCTCCTAAGGAATAGAGACCAGAGTTGCTTCTGAAGTAGCTGTTCTGAGGCACTTAAGACCTCAGCTAGTGCTCACTCTACTAGAATGCAGATCATGAACTTTGTGAACTTTATTATGTCAGTTAACTGTGTTGTGTCAGGAGACCATTATCCTAAGCTTTCAACCCCTGAAGACCAAGCTTGGAAGCAGTTTGGTTATATCTAAGGAGTATCATCTGTCTTCACTGAATATATGTACCTGCCCACTTATATCTGTATTTACACTTGGAATATAGATACTACCATCTGTACTCACATTTGTACTTTTCAGTATATGTGTAAAGTAAGGTGCCCTGGTGGCTTACTGGTAAGGAATTGCACTGAAACTCATGACTATTAAATTGCCATATGTTACAGATAGAAGTACTCTGAAGGATTTTATTTAAAAAAAAAAAGAAAGAAAGAAAAAAAAAATTTTTGGTTGTTTTTGTTTTTCTTGTTGTGTACTGTCAAATCAGATCTGACTGGCACAGGAGGAGATTTACCCTTCCTTCTCCAACGAAGTATCTGGTAGATTCGAACTGCGAGTCAGACCTTTCTTATCTTGATCCACTCAAAAGTTTCAAACCTACAACCTTCCAATTAGCAAGTGATTACAAGTAGCTTGCCCCATCCAGGCTCCAGTCCCTTATGACTAAACCTGTTGTGTGACCTGTTCTGTATTACAAATGGAAGTTATTATAGAAAATGTTAAAAATACAGGAAAAGGGAAGGGGGGAAAGGAAAGTGATATAACTCAAAAGTAATCACCGCTTAAAATAACAAACTACTAGTGTTTTGTATAATTCATTCCACCTAAAAATTTTTTAGTTGAGGTATAATTTACGTATAGTAAAATTTACTTCCAGTTCCTATTTAGGCATATTTGTTTTCATAATATGAAAATACAGTTTCAAATACCTTGTCAGTATTTCACAAACTTCTTTCCTTGGGAACCCTCTCCTAGCTCTTTTAAATATTAGTCATATGCTTCAGAAAATAATTTCATTCCTTTGTAATCCTTCCCCGTTTGCACTAATTGTGTACATCTTGCTTTTTATCCTCTAATTATGTTTGTCAGTCCTTTTATCCACTCCTTTGGTGCCTTCTCTTCCCTAAACTTTTTGCCTTCTCCCATTTCAGCCTAAGTTGGGTGATACTTAGTTTCAGTAATTTACTTGCCATGCTCTGACTTTTCCTCTCTTAGAATTTTACAGGTCATTAATTTTTTTTTTTTTAGGTCATTAATTTTTACATGAACCTTCTGATGGAAAGAAATAAAAAGCAAGGCTATCCAGCACTTCATGCATTTAGTACTTTCTTCTACCCTAAATTAAGGTCTGGGGGTTACCAAGCAGTAAAAAGATGGACCAAAGGGATAAATCTCTTTGATCAAGAACTTATTCTGGTGCCTATTCATCGGAAGGTACACTGGAGTCTGGTGGTGAGTTGAGAAAGTTAATTGTTGGAATTTCAGTAAAAATTATTTTCTTAAATTATGAAGAACACCCTGTTGTGTCAATGAAAGGCCAGTGGTGAAGGAGGCAGAGGCTGCAGAGCCCCTCAGAGCCCCTACGTGGAACTACATTGGAAGTTAGAAGACCTGTCCCTGTCCTGGGGGAGCTCTTGTTCTCAGCAAGAAAGGGTGTTAATGCTCATGGGGACTGTTTAGTTTTGTATTCAAGATGATACAGGTTTATTGTAGAAAGGTAAAGATTTAAAAAGAAAGCAGGAGAAAAAAAATCCTGTCATTCTGAGAAGACCATTTCATGTTTTAATGAATAAATTTCCCTTTTCTAGGGAGGAAAATAGATAATTTCATACAATAAAACTGTAATGCCATCTGTGAGGTTTCTTTAAAACTTTTCTTAGAAATTAATTTATGTTAATACATATATTACTTATAAAAGTGCATTTCTTTTTATAAGTGAAAATTTTCTGCTACAGTTAAAAGTTTTCTGGATATTCTTCCACTATAGGTTATAGACCTACGAAAAAAATGTCTTACATATTTGGATTCTATGGGACAGAAAGGCCACAGGATCTGTGAGATTCTCCTGTAAGTACATGCTCATCAGTTTCACTGTTGCTCTGATGCCGTTAATAGATGATACATTCTCTTTCTACCACTAGGAAACTGATAGATGGTGGCCTCTCTTCCCAGTCATTCTGGGTTTAACTTGAATTTAACTTCTTGTTGAAAAACAATCCAATGTCTGATTCCAGTTAAGAAGTAGTTTTTAATTCCATCATTAAAAATGAGTTTGTCATTTGTCCTCATGTAAATGATTCCTACTATATCCATGTGATTTAAATTTAATTTCTTTAGGATTGCCTTAGTCTGAGTATTTTCAAGACAGTTAGCTGGGGGTTATTATGCTTCTACATTTCTAAGCCAACTTATCTTTGTGCTTTCATGATGGTTAGCTTCATCTCATAGAATCTAGCAGTAATTTTTGAGTAATAGTCTCTGGGCAATTGTTTCAAGTTATAATTGCCGGAAAACATTCTTTTAAGACATATTTAGTTATTTTCTGTGTGAGATATTAACATGAATGATATTGAGGAAGCATATCAGTAAGATGAGCCCATGTTGAACCTCTCTGCTTATTGGAAGTAAATGAAGGTTTCTATTTTTAACTTGAGTAGGGATAAATAAACTTGTTAAATCCTACGATAAAATGCTATAATAACTGATAATTAGCTCAGTTCTCTCTTTGTGCACTATTACTTTAATTGTTGTTGCTATGTGCCATCAAGTTGCTTGCAACCCATAGCGACCCTGTGTACAACAGCCCTAAATACTGCTCTATCCTATGCCAACCTTATTGTCTCCAACACACCTACCACTCTTACCCCAGTCACTGAATCAATCCATCTCATTGAGGGTCTTCTTCTCCTGCGCTGTCCCTCCACCATTCCAAGCATGATGTCCCTCTCCAACGACTGGTCCCTCCTTGCAACATGTCCAAAGTATGTCAGATGAAGCTTCAGAATCCTTGACTCCAAGGAGAAGCCTGTTTTCACCCTCTCTGGGATGAACTTGTTTGTTCTCCTAGCAGTCCATTCAGTACTCTTCTCTAGCACCACAGCTTTTCAAAGGCATCAATTTTCCCGTCATCCCTAGTCATTATTCAGCTTTAATAAAAAAAACATAATTTTTACCTTGTAAATTTCTTTTCAAGAAGTATAGAGAATTTTTTAAAAATTATAAGATTTGGCGAACTCTGGTGGCCTAGTGGCAGGAAACTGCACTGCAATCTCAGAGGTGCACGGTTCAAATCCACCAGCTGCTCTGCTGTACCAGTCAGATCCAATTTGATGGTACACACATTAAAAAAAAAATTATAAGATTTACCAAATGTTTTATAAAGTAGTTGGTTTTTATTGTATAAGAAAGAATTATATAAAAAAATGCATATATTTATATGTATGTGTACACATACATATACATTTTCAAACATACAAATATTCTTAGTGGAATTATACATTGTAGTTTTTAAATTTTTTTATATTACTCTGATTTAATTTTCAAAGTTTAAATACATTGTTTTGATTGCTAATTATAATAGGACTTAAAAAAGGACTCATGGTTTTATTTCCTTGATAGTGTTTGTTGGTTCTTTGCTCCTTTTTAAGTGTGGTAAATTCCTTCCCATGGATACCTGAGGCCCACACCTTCTCCCTAATGTCTCCGAGCTGATGTTTCTCAGCTTGTTTCCATTAACATCCCTGCGCTCCAAGTAGAAAAATGGAATTTCCCCCTAACATGAGAAATTAGATACTAAGCAGATTTTCTTGCATAGAGTTGAGCATGGAGGATTACCAACCTTGGCTTTTTACTCAGTAAGAGCCAATTTTACCCATTTACTAGTGATATTTTCCCTATTTAAGTGTGTATGTCATCCTAGTTTAACACTGGCCTACTTTAGCTTGAGAACCAAGATGCCTGGATTGTTAAATTTGATAGCCTAGAGGTTTGTATATAATTATTACTTCAGTGCACATCTCTGAACAGCAGGGAAATTCTACTATATAACTGCAATGCCATCATCACACTTAAGAAAATGATCAGTAGTAGTATGTGGGAACTCTGGGCAGGACAAACTGTTAAGCTCTTACTAACTGAAAGGTTGGTGGTTTGAGATCCACCCAGAGGTACCTCAGAAGAAAGGCCTGGAAATGTACTTCAAAAATCAGCCATTGAAAACTCTGTGAAACAGATCTGCCCCTGCCCATATAGGGTCCCAGTCCAAGTTCATGTTATACTCGGTTAATGTCTGTTTGGTCTCCTTTAATTTACAACAGTCTCTCTGGGCAGTGATTTAGGTGGGGGGAGGTAGACTGTCCAAGCCAGTTGTCTTGTTTCTTGTCTGTTTTTAAGAAAGAAAAAGCAAGTTGCAAAATATAACATAAAGAGCTTACTTATTAAAAGTAAAATAATGATTTTTAAATTGTGTGTATGGAGGTGGAATACAGAATACATGCTGCAAACTGCAAGTTATTGCAGGAGGTCTTTTGATTTTTATTTTATATGTTTAACATTTGAAAGCAAACATGTGCAATTTTTGTAATTGGAAAATAAAAAACCCAACAAGAATTAAATGTAAAGAGCAAAGATCCCATCACACTTAAATTCTAATAGGGTTTGGGCAAGACCTCCTTGGGAAATGTCATAAAGTCCTTTGTAATCATGATACTAAGTGTCCATAGGGATTCATGGATATATTTCTTCTTTGTTGTTTTTTTTTTCAGTCAGTATTTACAGGATGAAAGTAAGACCAAAAGAAATATTGATCTAAACCTTTTAGAATGGACCCATTACAGCATGAAGCCACACGTAAGTGAAGATAATCTGAATCTGAAATGCTGGGATGCCTTCTATGCCAGCCTCACATGGTTCCCATGGTGTCCTTCCTCCCCTCGGTCACCCCTCAGGCATTCATTCTCCTCAGATAGACTTCTTCAGGACTGACCTGCTGCTGAATCTTTTGCAATGAATTTAACCCAGTCCCTGACTTCTTAGCTTCTGTCTTCTTGGCCCAAATGTAAATGTGCTAGCAGCTGTCTCAGAATTAAAGAAGAAAAGCCATTCACGTCAGTTACTTTTCTTGGTTAGTGTTAATGTAAATTTAGAGCTCTTGTCCAGATTTTTTATCAGGAAATTTTATTTATATGGGTCTCAAGGATTCCATGCTGCGGGTCATCAGAATCAAGGAGCTATTTTGAATCTGGTCTGTATCTTCCCATATTTGATATTCAGAGTTTGAAAATGCATCCATCTTTGAGTCCTAATGGCTTTCCTTTAAAATCTGCTATATAAATTGACCTTGAGCTCTGACCTTTGTAGTAACTAAGCTGTTTTTATCCAAATGCTTTTTGTTTTTCTGTTGAATAATTAGAAGGTTATGCTTTGACATTTCCTGAAGAAAGCACAGGTTCAAGAAGCATTTGTTAGGGTGAATACTGTGTTCTGATCCAGGAAATGTAATAGTAAAGGAAGCACATTCCTTTCCTTCATGTGTGACGGTTCTGCATTCCTGTCCAAAGCCGTGGTGCCATAGTAGAACAAGTGTCGGGCTGCTAATCAAAAGGGCCACAGTCCCAATTCGCTACCACTAGCTAGGAGAAAGATGAGGACATCTCCTTGTGTTAAGATTAGAGCATTGGCAGCCTGATGGAGGGCCCCTGTGAGTCACAATTGACTTAGCAGCAGTCCTGTCCACAGTGAGAGATGCTATACTGCTGGATTCTGTGTTTCTAATGGAGAAAAGTGTAGGGGTGGGCTGCTTGTGTGCTCTTTTTCACAGTAAAACTCATTACCATTGAACTGTAGCCAGTCATAGCTGACCCTCCAGTGGGTTTTTGGAGGCTGTAAATGACACAGAAGAGATTGCCCATTTTCTCCCACTGAGTTCCTTTCCAGTAATCTAGTTTTCTAGCCTCTTCCATACTCTTATAATTGTGTGCCCTTTATGACTGACAGCCAGAGTGTGTAAAGGGCTGCTGAAGATTAGAGCAACATAGCACAGGGTTGGGGACATGTGAGTTTAATGAATGTGAAGTTAGAATCTGCCGTCTTGGTTTATGCACCAGTGCTGTTTGCGCCGAGTTCTCACTTAGCTTTAGAACCCACCTGAATAATCAGATTCCAAATGGTTAAAGGTTGTCAAGAGGTTTCTTTCTCCTTCTTGAAGCTGTGGAGTTCGAAGGAGGTCCCTTGGCTAGAGATGAGAAACTACACTCAGCAATATTGGAGTAGCTTGGTTGTATTTTAAGTACATTTCTTCTTGAACCACAGATAGCCATTTTCAAAATTTATAAAAGTGTCTGAATTCCTGGTTCCTTCTTTCAATTTTATTTCTTTGCTTTTGAGATAAAAGATGGAACTCTCATTTTGCTTTTCTCTGTTCTGCTGAAAAACATTTTTTATGAGGTCACATACTCTACATCATGCTAAAGGTTTTTGTACTACTTAAGAGTAAGACCAAGGAGTCCTGGTGATGTATTGAGTAATGTTGGGTTGCGAATCACAGTCAACTGTGAATCCACTGCTCTTGAGCAGAAAGATAGCCAGTCTCCTCCCATAAAGATTTATAGGCTCAGAAACCCTCAGTTGAGGGTGGGTTTGTTTTGGATTTTAGAGTAAGCCTCTGTGTGTGTGTGTGTTGTGTGTGTGTGAGAGAGAGAGAGTGTGAGTGTGTCAGGAGAGTTCTTATCTGATGATGCTTCACCTCCTTCTCCCTTCTTTTTAATTTAATTTTAGGAGATTCCTCAACAGTTGAATGGAAGTGATTGTGGAATGTTTACTTGTAAATATGCAGATTATATCTCTAGAGACAAACCTATCACATTTACTCAGGTGAGTGAAGACTTCACATGCACGTACTTATTAGTAAATTAGATCAGCTTAAAGCACTTGCCAGAGTCTGGCACACAGTAAGCTCCCATGTTAGCTAGGCTAGTCTTGCCTTTTGTAGCCACAGCCCTCCTCTGGAGAGGTTCAGGCTTATTATTTGCCCTGGTGACAGTGAACAATTTCCGTATTTTTGAACTCCAGTGTTCTGGCTTTGTGTGTTAGTAATATTTCAGGCCAAAGGAAGAAGTAGGTCACACTGTGTAAGAGCAAAGTAAATCAGGCCTACTGAGCTTTTGGCTAAAAGCCTCAGATAGAACTGTGAATAAATACTGTTCTCCCTTTCTGTTTTGATGAACTTTGGCTCTCTGTGGCCCTGCATAGCCTAGTCCGCAGGAAATTGCACTAACCCAAAGACCATGCCTCTCTATCAGTTCAAATTCACCAGCTGCTCCAAGGGAGAAAATGGCACCTTCCTCCCAAGACTTAGCAGCCTGATGGAGGGTCAGCTGGGTGTCAGTTCTGACTCGATGGTAATGAAGGTTGTTGTTGTACCTTCAAGGAAGAACTGACCCATTGCTGACCCTCTGGCAGGTTTCAGAGGCAGTAATCACAGAGAAGGAGATTGTCCATCTTTCTCCCTCGGAACAGCTGGTAGATTCTAAGCACAACCTTTGGGATTGCAGTGCATCTTCTTACCACTAGGCCACCAGTAGGCAACTTTTTTACGTAAGGACACTCTTTAAAAGATCATTTTTTAGTGGACTTCATATATTGATAGATGTTGTCTATCCAACAAACCATACCGACTAATGGAATGGGACTGGTAACCCTATTCCTAACTTTTTTAAAAAAATAAATTTTTAGGGGCGCTCTGGTGGCCTAGTGGCAAGGAGCTGCAGCTACAATCCCAGAGGCGCACGGTTCGATGCTCTGCAAGTTATAGGTAATTTTGGAATTGTCAGGTGTGTTGCTGCTGTGAAAACTATCACATTTGGTTAAAGTATTAGGAAAAAAATTAAGTAGGGTAAAGCATCATTCTTTGCTGCTGCTGAATGGTGAGGACTGTTCTCTGAAATGAGAAGAAGTTTCTGTTTGAACAGAATTGACAATGTACATTTTGATTGTGCAAAAAGAATTTAGTTGATATAATTGCATTTATTTAAATTTTACATACACACATATATTTTAAAAAGTAGAAAAGTTACATGTGTTCCACCACTTGGGTATTTCTATTTTTTATATATACTTTAGGTTTTGAGACATTTTTATTATGAAATTACTACAATATTGTAATACTGCATTCTTTTATTTCCTTAACGTGTTAGAATGCCTATGATACTGTTTGTAAGCATAGACTGACAGAAGTTAAGGCTTGAGGACAAGGAAATGAAATGACTGGAAACAGAACAAGCAGATTGACACTCTGAGAAATGCAAACAATGTTCTGGAACAAATTGTGTAGAAATGACTAAATTTCTACAGTATACCAAATTTATTGTATAAATTTTCTAAATTATACCTAATTTTGTGTGTTAACTTTGACCAAATACATGATAAAATAGTTTAAATAAATGGGCAAAGGTGTGTAATGCCTCCCTGCATTCCTTGCAGTGCCAGATGCCTCTTTTCCGGAAGAAGATGGTGTGGGAAATCCTTCACCAGCAACTGCTGTGAAATGCCCTGCCTGCCCCTCTAGCTGCTGCTGGTTCTTTCCTGGATGGTTCCATATACCTCATGCATCGTGAGTTTTAAAAGTCCCGGCATCACTTCAGTTCTCTTTCAGGTACTGAGCTGTCCAAATGCATGGAGGCCTCTGCCTGCACTCAGTCCTGACTTGGTGTGCAGAGGGCTGCTCGCAACCTGTTCGTAAGGGCTGTGGCCTGCTCAGAGCCCTGGACTGCTCAACCCACACAAGAACAAACGCTAAATAAATATATTTTGATTTTTTAAAGAATTTTTTTCTTTTTCCCTATGAATGTGGGAAATGCAGGATTTAGTGTTTAAATTGTGTTTTTCTCCTTTGTGTGTTCATGTGTATTCATTTGCTCACTCATTTGCAAACATACTGGGCAGTGGCTGATTTCCCCTGCTCTTTGACAGATAACCCTAAATTACTTGTTTGAACTATTTATTTCTGAAAGGAAAGTTAATCAAGCTCCTGCCCCCTGCTGAAGATCAAGAGAGCAGTCTGTGAGCGGAGGAAGGAAGTGTTAAATTTCTCCAGGGCTGGAGCAGCAGCTGCCAACATGAAGCTGGAGAGTTGATTTTTGGTTCGTTTTTGGTGGTGTGTTTTTTTTTTGAGGCCTGAGCATGCTGGGAGAAGCGCTATGGTGCTGTGGTATAGGGCTCTGATCACCTCTTGGGGCCTGACACTTGCAGCGTTGGCACAGTATTAAGGAAAAAAGTGGAACTGTGGCCAGAAAACACTGGTTCTCTGAATGTCTTCAGAAGAGTGGTATGGTCATCCTAAAGAGACTTCCTTTTGTGGAAACAAGATGACTTGGCTTACTCTCAAAACTGGATTTTAAATAACTGTAAACCCCTAACCTTCAATTGAAACCCTGATCTGATTGCACCTAAACCTTGGAATTGTGTGTATTTTAAAAAGAAAATATTCAATTTAAAGCTATTTTTCCTCGAGGGTTTTTTTTTCTAACATTATAGCCAAAATGAAGTTTTATACGCATTAGGACTCCACCACCATTGAAATTTGTGGGAAAAAAAAATTAATAGTTGGCTTTGATGCTACCAGTATACAAGAATCTATTTTGCATATGAAAGTTTGTATTTAACTTTTTGTTCATTAAAAACCTTACAGATATGGCTATGTATTTTTAATTTCAGAGAGTTTAGAGTGGTCAGGACATATTTTGTTAAGATCTAGGACAAGATCCTCATGCCTAGTTGTTGCTTTTTAAATGTAATAAAAGGTGGCCTGGCAGAATCTGAAAAGTATATGCTGAAATGATTTCCAGCCCTCTTCCTACTCGAAACTCCTGAACTTGTTCTGGTGCATAAAAGCAAGAGGTGGAACCAGAAAATTTTGGCACCTGTTAGCTCTGATTGACCATGCCCGCTGTTTGGAGCCCAGGCTGCCTGACGTAGGTGCGCACTGGTGGTAGTTACTTGCAAGCCATTTTCCTTAGACTTGCAAGTCTTTGTGCATACCCAGGTTCCCTGAGGTGTGGATCGACTTGATGGCCAGACCAGAGTCCATGTGTTAGGTGATGACTAGAGTGAACTGGCTGTACAGTCTCCAGCTGAGGCTGCATGAAGAACCCCTCCTGACATCCTTGTTCCTGTTCCTCAGGGCTCCGAGCTGTGCCACTGCGTGTTGGGGACCGACAGCTGGCTTAGCTGAGAGGCTAGAGACTTCCTGGGCTAGAGTTGTACTCAAAGCCTGCTTCCCACTTGCTCCACTGTGTTCCCTCCGAGAACTTACACCTGAATTTCTAAGAAATTGGGATTTCTTGTGTTAAGACTGATTGGAGAGGCGGTTTGTGTTCTGCCTAAATGAATGATGCAGGGGTGAATGTAGTGTGTGAGAGGCATCATAGGAGCAGCTTGCACTGAGCTTGCCATGCATATGCACTCTTCAGGACCAGACTGAAGTCAAAAGAGCAGAGTGTTGAGATCTAGAACAGTACATGAGCTTCACTGATTTTATTTCTCTGGAGAAACCAGCCCAAGATGCCCTGAGTTCTCGTATTCAGTACAAGAGACTACAGACCATTGCATCTGTAGGCACTGGCGTGTTGCAGTTTAAAAAAACCTGCTAGTAACAATTTTTTCTATCTAAACACTTTATGAGAAAAGGGGTCAAGTAATGAGAACAGCCATTAATAATATAAGTAACAGCTATCAACAATAAACCAGTGATGGGGGCCTGGGGAAAAAAAAGTCCAGGGAACCATTTACTGTCTTTTTTTGTTTAGTAACTCAGAAACAGAAAACTCGTCTGGTTGGAACAGACTCATAGGTGACCCTGCAGTGCGTTTTCAGAGGCTGTAAGCTGCATGGGAGATTACCCATCATTCAACCAAGGAGCCACTGGTGGATGTGAACTAGCAGGGTTAGCAGCCCCCCTCCCTGTCCAGAGCTCCTGATTAGTAATGACTCTCAATATTGATCAATGTAAAAGCTGACTGGAGAGGCGGTTTGTGTTCTGCCTAAAATGAATGGTGCAGGGGTGAATGTAGTATGTGAGAGGCGTCTTAGGAGCAGCTTGTACTGAACTTGTCAGTGAGCAAATGTCTTTTTTTTTTGTGCCAGAACTGGATAGTAAGAGGGAAGCCCAGTTGGGGCCTGAAGAAGATAGGAAGATGCTCTTAGGAGCCCCACATTCTACCTCGGTTACCTAAGGCTATTAGAATTTTGTTTTCCTTCTCCCAGATCTTAAGCACAATGTGGGGAGGCCCATGGATACCTGCCTGTACTGTGGGATGCTCGGACCAAGGTGGGGATGTAGGAGAAAGTGTCCTTGGAAATATATTGAACCTCAATTTATAAACAGGAATATAGAGACATTTAAATTTGTAGTAACTTGGGTACAACAGTTAAGCTTTGCTGTGTAAATTGGCTTTTGTGAGCTCCATGGGAACCTGATCTCTCTTTGCAGACCATACCTGTTATCCAAACAAACTTTTAATATTTAAGTTGGGGATCAATCCAGCTAATTGTATTGCTCTGAGATATATATTTTCCCCCCTTTTAATTTACCTAATATATACATTGAAGTTTGGCTGTATTGGAATCAGTGTTGATTTTACCTACTTACAAATAAATTTATCCTTTTAATTCCGTGGCTTTCAAGTTTCTTTTATTTTTTTTCCTATAATTATATTTTATTAATTTTCATAAACATTTACAGAGATTTTGGGCTTCCACTCATTCATTCAAGTTTCTTTTATTGTAACAGTGGTTAACTCCTGGGATGAATGAACAATGCTCATACACATAGAACAGGCCACTGTGGCACTTGGTATTACCTTTGTTAATTAGCCTTGCTAATTTGATTTCCATTTTTACTTTTATTAAAACAAAATTTATACTGGTTTGTTTATAAAGATTGAATGTATTGTTTTTACACTAGGTGGATCTTTCTTAACGAAGCTGATGGACTTCTGGGAGATTGGGTGTTACCGGATTAAGAAGATTAGATGGTGGTCTCAGGTCCTATCTTGTGTGAATCTCTGAGGTTCCTGACACTGAGTTAGGAGGACCAAAGGTGAAAACCCAGATCCTGGCTGTGTGGAGCCCCAGTGTTTCAAGGATATAGGTGGTGCTTTATTTGGTGTTATCAAAAACAGTCACATAATTATTTCCAAGCAGGGTACAGAAATACTCTTAGTTTAATCCTTGCCAATATGCAAGAACTTTTATGAAATTTTCAAACATGCCGGATAACTTGTCTAAAGACTGCATCATGGACACTTTTCTCCTCAAAACTTGTTTTCTGGTATTTAGTGTTGGACATTAGCTTGTGTATTGTTGTTTTGTAAGTGACTTATTATTTGGGCCAATATCCTATTTATTATATCCAAAAAAACCTTGTCAGAATTTGCCCAAAGCATGTCTTTTTTTTGTCTTGTTGATCAGCAAATCTTGCTGATTTGCTACTGAAAGACAATAGTAACAGAGGCTTATGCAAGACTGTGCAAAGGCATTCAGCTGTGTAGATCATTATAAAGTATGACTAACATTGAGAAGAATGGAAATTCCAGAACAGTTAATTGTGATCATGTGAAACCAGTATGTGGAACAAGAAGCCTTTGTTGGAAGAGAACAAGGAATGCAGCACGGACCTACAGTCAACACCTAAGGTGACAGTAATCAAGAAATCAAAAGGCATCTTTCACTGGGCAGATCGTCTGTCAGTGGACTCTTTAAAGTGCTAAAGAGCAAGGATATTAGTTTAAAGACCAAGGTGTGCCTGACTCAACACAGTAATTTTAATCGCTACACATGAATGTGAAAGTTGGACAATGACTAAGGAAGACCAAAGAATTGATGCCTCTGAACTGCAGTGTTGGAGAAGAGTGTTGAATATACCATAGACCACTAGGCAAATTTTTCTTGGTGCAACCAGGGTGCTCCTTGGAAGTCAGGATGGAAAAACCATCCCACATTCTTTGGGCATATTGTCAGGAGAGGGACCAGTCTTTGGAAAAAGACATCATGCTTGGAAAGGGGGGGGGTCGGTGAAAGAAGGGAAGACTCTTAAGATGGACTGATGCAGTGACCTTGAGTATGGTGGGGATTGCAAGGTGAGTGCAGGATGGCGCAAGGTTTGAGCCATTCTGTATGGCAATCAGCTTTGGTACAGAGTATAGCCTTTGCAACCCTGTGGGGCAGTTCTACTGTTACACAGGATTATGTTACGTATTGTCAAGTCGGAACCAACTCCTAGCTCCAATTCGAGCAAGTTTTCAAAGGCAGTAAATTGCACAGGAGACTGCTCATCTTTCTCCCATAGAGCAGTGGTGGATTCAAACCACAAGCTTTCAGTTGGCAGCATCACCTCTTACCACCAGGCTCCAGGGTCACTACAAGTTGGAATTGACTCGGTGAAAATTGGTTTGGATTTTATTCTCTTTTGATTAGAATTATAGACCATGGTTATCATGGCCAACCCTTTATCTTAGAGAGGAGACAAGTTATTTAGTGTGCACGGTCATACAGCTAGGGTATGAAAAAGTGGGAAAGAAACCTGGCTGGTAGAGGAAAGGGAGAGCTGAGGGCAGAACGTGGACCTTCACTTGGTGTCCTGGCCTTCAACATCCTCTAGCTCTGCTGCCTGAGCAAGGCCTCCCCAAGTACCCTCAGTGACGGACAGCCCTTTCAAAGGTCATACATAACCATCAGGGGACAGGGAGCTGTCATTTCTTCACAGTATGACTCTTAAAAGCAAGAAAAAACAAGCCCTTGAGCTTGGTGTTGGGGAATACCAAATATTCCATGAACTACTGAAAGAACAAACAGCTATGTCTTGGAGAGGGTCCAGCCAGTGTGCTCCTTGGAGTGAGGACGACAGCTTATCTCACATACTTCGGACATGTTGCTCGGAGAGCAGATAAATGACTGGAGGAGCTGAGAAAAGGAATCTTCAAACCTCAAGAAAGATGTATAATGGATATTGTGTCTGTTGGAGGGAAAGATTACTGCTCAGTGGAAAGAAGTATTGGACATGAGCTGTTCAAAGACAGAACTATGTGCCTTAGCCTCGTTCCCCACCCTCCACCCGGAGATTTGGAGGGCATTTCCTCCCTCCGGGGAGCTAAGCTCCTTCCCCACTCCTGTTCTTCTGTGAAGCTAGAGTTGAGGGAGGAAGCCACTGCACTTTGACTGAGTTTACAGACAACAACTAGTAGTTTAGTTGATGATGAACAAAATTTGTGAGTTGGCGAATTTGGTCAATCTTTAATATCAAACTGTTACCCCTGAATGCCAGGTCAGCAATTTTCTCTGCTTCCCATCTTAGACGTCCAATAGTTGGCCCCCTCCTCCTGCCTCTCTCATCTAAGGCAATCCTCTCCCTTAGTCCTTTGTTGAAATCTTGCCATATTTCTGATGTACAAGTTACCTGTTTTGTCTTCTAAGCTGTCCCTCCATGCTGGAATCCTTGTTTAATCTTTGACCAACCTGTATCATCTTCCCTTTCTGGAGTTCCACATTGAAGGAAACAGGCAGTCAACGCGTTGCTGCATACTTTTAAATTAACGACCGTGCTTAGAAACACATTCCGCCCCCCCCCCCATGTATTACCGTCATTTGCGGCAACGTGTTAACGGAAATCAACTTAAGACACGTAGGATGCTGAGGCATAATGCCGTCCAGTGAGACGTTAGCACCTGGGAGGGCCACTATGGGTGTGCTGTCCATGCTCGCTGCGCACAGGGACCGCCCACAGCACCTAACAACACGGTCATGGATATTCAGAGGACTTGGGAGAAACTCCTTCACTAATGTAGTTTAAGGAATAAAACCTGTTGTTGAGCAGTTTCCATTTAACAACTTCATTTTGCCTTAGCATAGAATTTAAGTTAATTTCTAAAGATCTAGTTTTGTGCTTCTGTCATGAGAGGACCAGGCGGAGGCCTCTTGCATACTTTTGGTGCAATTAGACTTTCTGGGAAGGTCAGGTATAGTAACTTTAAAGTTGGCAGGAGAAAAGCAGATTGTCTTGCCAAGACAGGAAAAATACAGGATTTATAGCTTCAGCAGTTAATACAAACCCAGTCCTGATCTAAACCCGTATGTGGTGAATTGTTTTCTAAGCACAGTCCACAGAGACAGGATGCCATGTCCCATCCCCAACCCTGAGGACAGGCTTCCTGCCTGGGTTGCCCTTGTGAAGCTAAAGAGAGGCAAACAAGTGTGAAATAAGCCAGCACTTGGGTTCTCTGGGAAAACCAAACCTGCTGAGGAACAAGGCCAGCTGGAGGTGTTCTAAGCCTTTCACTTCTCCCTGTGGTCTCCCCTTTATACCTGCAACCTAAGGACAGCAAACTGGTGCTTCGTGCCAGGGTAAATGGCATCACCTCAGCACCCCTCTCCATCTCTCCCTCCCAAGCTCACAGACACACTCTTGAGGGCTGGCGCATCAACTACCTGTGTAATGCAGATGACACAACCTTGCTTGCTGAAAATGAGGACTGGAATGTTTGTTGTAAAAGATCAAAGACTTCTTTCTTTAGCTTTCAACATGGATTACACTTCAACATCAAGAAAACAAAAATCCTCACCACTGGGCCTGGAGGGAACATCATGAAAGATGGAGAAGAGATTCAAACTGTTAACAACTTTCCTCTTACTTGGATCCACAATCAGTATCATCAGTACCTCTGATATCAGCAGTCAGATTAGGAGACGTATCACATTGGGAAAGTCTGCAGTCAGGGACCTCTCCAAATTACCGAGAAGCAACAATGGCAGTTTGAGGATGAAGTTGTGCTTGATTCGGTCCATTTCCCCTCCCTGCCCCCGATCACTTGTTGTGCATCTTAGAGGTGGACAATGAGAAAGAATGAAAAAACAGATGCCTTTGGGTTGTGGTGTTGGAGGAGTACTGAATATCCTATGCATTACAAAAAAAACAGGTAACGTCTTGGAGGAAGTGCAGCTAGAGTGGTCTTTGGAGGCAAAGATGACAAAGCTTCATCTCACACTCTGAAAGCTGGAGCTGGGGAAAGAGGCAGACCCTCAACCAGATGGAATGACATGGTGACTACAGCAATGGGCACAAGTGTGTTGAGAGATTGTGAGGACGGCAAAGGATAGGACAGATCAACTGTTCATGGGGTCACTATGAGTCATAGTTAACTCCATGGCATCCAACAACAGAGAGCTTTAAGTTAAACTTCAACCCTTGGCCCCTGGAATAAAAGCACAATGTAAAAAGAGAGATGGCCAGGAAGGCCCTTTCCAGAGGGTCTTACATCTTCACCCTCCTTGAAGACCATCGATGAGAAGGACTGACTCAGTGATGGCGGTAATGAGGGTGGGTGTGTCAGAGACAATCAGGTTGGCACAGGGCTATTGTATATATAAGGTCGCTGAGTTGTAAGCAACTCGAAGGCACATAACAACTCCTACTCATCCTGACAAAATAATTACCAATTTCTTGGACACCTATTTCAAGCTTTGCCTTTAGAGATGAGTACTTTCTTTGCATGACCATGTGATCTGAACACCTCAAGCCAGAGAAGATCCTGCAGGGACCTTGGATGCCTGGAGGATTCCTCCTGTGCTGTAACCACTTTGAGCACAGTAGGCTTGAGCCCTGGGGAGTGCAGATGGAGATGGGAGTCTCAGGATAGTCATTTCCAGGCAGTGATAGCCTGTCCCGGCTCTCCACGGGGGAGAACAGCTGTGTTTCATTTACACACCACGGAATGTCACAAGTCAAATCAGCGTCAGATAAATGGGACATGCAGCAATGGGAAAATCAGTAATAGCTGTGGGAATCTGAGAAATACGTTTTATGCAACTTGGGAACTCTCGAATTCTGTCAGAGACGAATGCACTTATTTTGGAAGGCAACAGTTCACCACAATCTACCCTTGCTGTGCTAACAGCGCTAACAAGAAAAAAAAAATTAGGTGTGTTGAGTCCAGTCCAGTCCAGCTCCCGGAGCCTCGTGTGCTTCAGAGAACTGAGCTTCATTGAGTTTGCAGTAACTGTGACTTTCTGGAAACAGGCCAATAGGCTTGTCTTCTAAGAACCTCCTCTGTGTGGACTTGAACTGTTGGCTTTTGGTTAGTAGCGGGCACTCAACCATGTGCACCACCACTCCATACCATCAAGTTGGAGCTCTGGAGACAACAGTGGTCACACGTCTGGCTAACTGAAAGGCCAGCTGTTTGTACCTACCAGCTGCTGCACGGAACGGGTTAAGAGGTACAGCTTTGGATGCCCTGTCAGGAAGTCCTACTGTTGTCGTCGTATACTGTGAGTCAGAACTGACCCTCCAGAGGATTTTCAGAGGCCGTAATTCCCCTGTGAGGAGGCTGCCCATCTTTCTCCTGCTCAGCAGCTGGTGGATTTTGAACCACATGCCTTTGGACTGGCAGTGCCACTCCTCACCACTAAGCCACCAGAGCTCCTGTAAATCAGAATTGACTGGATAGCACTGACTTTTTGTTTTGATGAAAACATTAGATCTTTATTCCCAAGAGTGTTTGAACTTTCCCAGCTCTGAGAGAGCCATAGGTCTATAAATGGGTTTATAAATGAAACGGCCCATCCCAAATCTTCCCAGCACATCAGAGGACCAAGCGTGCCATCCCTTCCTCCACCAGGCTGGCCCTTAACTCCTGGCATCTATGTTGTTTGCACTCACTGCGTGGGGGTGAGATACCATTTCCCTTGGACTACTGTTCCACTTTTCACACCCATTCCCTCATAAACAGAACCGTCTCCTTGGCAACAGTCCTATCTAGCTTCATATGCGGTGGTTCTAACTTGAGCCACAACCACCTGGAGGGTTTGTGAAGAGACAGTTTGAGAGGCAACCCCTAGAATTTTTAATTCTAAGTGGACCTCAAGAACCTGCATTTCTAACAAGTCTCCAAGTTACCCTGATGTTGCTAGGTTGGGGAGCCAATTTTGGGGAGCATGGATCTAATTTCTCTTCTCCAGGAGACCTTCCTGGATAGAGCCCACCTCCCTGGAGGAGCACCTTGGTGCCTGTGTGCATCCACCGCTCTCCTCCTCCTAAGTCTCCCCCAAAGACTGAGCCCAGATGAGGTTTTAGGGTGAGGCGATGCACCGTAAAAATAAGAGGTCAAGACACCATGATCTTGTTAGCTGGATATATTTCTTTTCTTTTCTTTTTTTTTTGTCATTTTTGTCACAGAACACTGTTTGCAGTAGAGGAAACTGGCATTGCAGTCTGGTGGTATAATGGCTTGTTCACATAAACCAGTACATGGTCATCCTTTAGCACAAAAAGCCCTAATGGCGCGTACCCTATTGAAACTCGGGACATCTCCACTATTTTCTCTCTCTGTTTTTCTTTGTCATCGCTATAATCCACATGTTCAAGGTCTGTCCACAAGAAGGCCATAGAGGTTCTTGGCTAGCGGAAGACGACTCAGTTGTTGTACACTTGGACTGTCACCTTCTCCAGGCTGGCAGCTGATATCTTATTTTTTTTTCTCCAACTCATTTTTATTAAAAAAATAAAAAAATGCTCCAACTATCAGTTTTACAAAATCTCTAAGGGAAACACAAGAGCAAGGTGCTGAGGTAAAAAAACACCTGAGGTAGCTTTTTATGTGTGTGTTTTTCTCGTGTGTTTTTTTTTAAAAAAAAAAAAATCCTGTAAATTTATCGCCCTGGGCCAACAACCTCTTATAAATTGCTATTTTCCTCCATTTTTTTTAAAAAAAGAAATCATTTCACCGAATACTGATGGCTTATACACCAAAATGTAAAAAATACAAAATCCGTTCTTTCTTTCTGGAATTCTTTTGTTTGACTGGGTTGGTTTGGTGGGTTCCTGTTTTCCTCTTCCAAAAATGTTAGGACAAGTACCACTGACTCTTGTTCTTTTGAGTAACCAAGTGTAAGTTGAGGCTGGTTTGTGTGTTTCGCTTTGTGGCTTTGTGTGATGTGATACTCAGAGCACTGCTTTGCCTGGGGGTGGGGGTGGGGGTGCGTAGATACAGGGTACTGAGGGAAATAAAAAGAATGGGATGGAAAAAGAGAAAAGGAGAACAGGGCAGGGGTGAGATAAACAGAGAGAGACAGAGAATTATACAGCGGGATGCAAAACCAGTTAAGAACCTGTGAAGCAGAGAGAAATGGGGATTGTGAGCTAGACAGGGATGAAGAGAGGTTTCCTCTTCAAAGAGACGGTATCCCTTCTGTTGACACACACAGGTGATCCAGAACTGCGGCAGAGTGTCCTCCTGACAAGATTCCCCTCCGGGTGAATTTTGAATGGGTGGCCTCCTCACTACATCACCAGGGCCACCCTCCCCAATGAACGACCTTATTCTTACAAAGTCTAGAAGAGCCTGCTTTCTCTTTAAAAAGAAAAAAAATTAATAATTGGAGTTAGTCGAGTTATCTGATATATTATTTCTAAAATATATTAACACTGCAGGCACCCTGTGTAACCCACAGGCCACATATCTTAACATCTTTCCCATTCTAATATGTACACACATGTACAGAGACTATTTTCCACAAAAAAAAAAAGAGAAAAAATAAAAAGAAACAGCATGTGAATTTTGTTTTGCTTTGAACACATTCACCTATGTTAGTTCAACTAAAAGGGATAGCGTCGTGGGAGAAGGCGAGATGGAGCGGGTGGTGACGTGGATGGCTGGGGAGCCGGCGGAAGACCTGTGGAAGCAGGCGGGCCCTGCCGGTGCGCTGTGGTTCTGCTGAGAGGTCTGCCCTCCTCCCTTCCTCCCTCCACAGCCCCAGGGCCTCCCTCGGCTGACTTCTCATGCGTTCCTCAGGATGATGGTCTTTGGTTTGCTCCCGGACTGGCTGGCTGTGTTTGGTCTCGTTCTGTCAGGTGTTGGAAGGGCTACATTCATCCGTTGTTTTGCTGGTGCCTGTGGGAGCCTCACTTGCTGCGCTGTGAGGCGACTCCCTGAGGATATTTCTGCTCCTGCTGTTTCACTTGTTGTACAATTTCCCTGATCTTGCGCTGTGCAGTCTGTAGCAAGGGCGGGACGGGGCAGAGGGAAAGAAAAGGAACCCAGGTCTGAGGATGAGCACTGGGGTGGTTGGGGGTGTGGGACTTGGTGGGGAGGGAGGGCGGTAAGCTCAGCTATGGGTTACGTATTTTGTGAGGCCCCTTACTCTGGAGAGAGGGGGTTACTGTTGAGCTTTCTCTGCATGAAAATGTCTCAGAGCCCCTTCGTCACCCCTGAGCAAACCCTCACCAAAGCCTGCCTCTGTGGAGGCTGAGGGGGGAAGCCTACAGCTTCCAATTAACTGACAGGCTGGGAAGGCAAGCAGAGGGCCTTGCGGATCTCAAACAGCAATCCCCATCACCAGATAAACAGCTTCAGGGCTTCCCACCCTCCTGCTTCTAGAGTTACTAGGGACAGCGTGAGGGTGATAGGTGAGACTTGAGGGTGATAGGTGAGACGGAGAGGGAGGGAGTGACAAGGTCAAGGGGTGTATGGACCAAGATACAAGCCCCGGAGCAACCAGGCAGGAGGCCTGGTCTTGAACCTGGCCCCACCCATCTCACCCCACATGCTCTTGTAAGCGCCCCCAGGAAGCCTGAACCCTGGGAGGGAAGTGGGTCCTCACACACATTCCCAGAGCACAGAAGAAACTGAGAGCTGAAGAAACAGGCTTGGGTGAGATGGGCCTGTACCGTCAGGACCACGGAAGGAGTGGCTGAGGGTAAAGGGATGGGCTGGGACAGTGGCTCAGGTGGGCTCTCTATTCTGCAGTCAGGCCAAGGCGACAGCTTAGACACCTTCCATGTCCACTAAGACCTCGGTCCTCACGAGTCGAGGACAGGGACAGGGACTGTTCGACACCCAAACCCAACCAATGAAAAGCGTCATGAAGATCGAGGCAACTTAAGCGGAGGCACTAACTGTTCCAGAATGACCAAAACAGCTGTGTGAGGCTCTGAGTCCTGAGAGGGTTAGGAGGTGGGAAAGAAGGCAGAGGAAGAAGCAATGGGGGCATCCTGCAATCAGTACCTGAGTCCTCACTGGAGCCAAGCTGGTGGCCATGCCTGCAGGCTGGGCAGCCTGGAGGGGGGCTGGGCAGGGGTTTCAGGAGACAGGGGCTGCAATTAGGGCCTGAGTTGAGGGTCAAGGGGGAGCAGGGACCTCAAATGTAAGCATTTTAGGGGCTTGAAACTCGCTTTGTGTACATGTCCTGAACCTCCTCAAACTCCCCCAGAATGCCCACAGGAGCAGGCAGCTGGTGTGGTTGAAGAGCCAGGAGGAGAAGAGAGAAATGATTCCATTTTGGGAAGGCAGGGTGGTGGGTCAGGGCTTGAGGTTTCCTGATGAGGCTACCACAGCACTGCTACAGAATGGAAGAGACTGGAGGCAGGGAGGGGGCCCCACATAGCACAGTTACCTGGCTGGCGAAGAAATGCCCTATGATCCTGACAATCACCTCCTCGTTCTCATCTGGCGTTTGGTCTCGTGGTACGATGACTTCTGCACTGGTCAGGTTCTGCAGCTCGTTCACCTGGGAGGAGACAGGAAGCTGGAGAATGGTACAGTAAGGGACTGGGGCATGGTGAGGAGGCTGGGGCACAGCGAGGAGGCTGGGGCATGCCTCTCTCCTTAACCTTCAGGTACGAGTGGGTTTCTGTGCTTGCTACCATGATGGCACAGGCCCTAGAGGGTCATCGACAGACAGAAGGGAGTCCAGCCAGACTCGATGGAGTGGAGCCAAGGGCAGAGTTTTCTCCTGAAGTGTTAGGTCAATGCCATCCCTGCACATGCTCACAGTGGCCCCAGCTTCCTGATAATCTAGGTGTGAAGCCCCCCCACACCTGGGCAAGCCCACCTGGGTGCTGCCATGACCTTACAGATTGGACCTTCTAAATGGGCCCTGCTGTGTCCCCTACTCTTCACTTTCATTCCTGCTAACCAGTCTTCTTTCTTTGAAAAAAATCACTGCTGCTGATCTGGGACCAACTAAAAGCTGACCATTCAGCGGGTTCTCTGAGGCTGTAAATCCCACAGGAGGAAACTGTCCATTTTTCTCTCGAGAAGCAGCTGGTGGAGTTGAACTACATACTTATAAGTTGGCAGTGCAATTCCTAACCCACTAGCCCACCAGCTCAGGCTACCCTAGCCATGGATTAGTATCCTTTCTCCTTGCACCCTGTGAAGCATTAAGGTCATGCCGAGCTGCCTTCTCTCAGATCCATTTTCTGCTTCCCCTGCCTCCCTGGATCTGCTTCATAGTAACACTGCACAGGCCTCCCATGATTCAGACCTAGTCAGTGGCCCTCCAAGCACACAGGCGTGCTGACTTAAGGTTCAGTGACTGGTTCTATAATAACCACCTATGAACTGACAGGTGCAGAGGCCCCCTCCCTCACAGATGAGTAGCTTCCTTCCGATACATTTCAGCTCTACTGAGGCCTAGTGTGGGCCTGGGGTGCTGATCACAACCCTGGGAATAATCTGCATTCCATACAACTTTATTCTTTTGCATAAAAGTGAGCCATTACACCTAGAACTTGACTTTGATTATTAAGTTTCAATATCGAGAAATTTTCAAAACTGCAAACATGGAAGTGCAATCACACACGTGCACTCAGGACCCTGGAGATGCCTCTGTTCGTGCACACAGCTCCACTTGAACTTCTCAAGGGCCCTCTCCCTGCCAGATGGTAGGTCAGGCTGAGAATACATGCAAGTCTGACAGGTTGTCTACTCATTCCTACAGACTTCAGTTGGTTCTCTGTCATTTTCAAATGACACTGTTTTTTAACTGCCACTTTTATTGTTGTTGCTAAGTGCCGTCGAGTCGTAGATGACTCATGGTGACCTATGAATGAAAGACTTGGACACTTGTGTAACTTTCCTCCTATCTCCAAGTTCATAGAGTTTCCAGAGGCAAGCTATTTTGGAAGTGGATGCTACTTCTAATTCTAAGCCTGTTTTAATCTGGGAGATCCAGCAAATACTGTCCACCATTATCGCATTTGACACATCAGTGTCACAGTGTTTAGCATCATAGCAACCATGAGTTACCGCTGTACAGCAAATGGCCAGACCACCTTTAGGATGGAAAAATTATTTCCTTCTCACCCACCACAACACTGCTACAGGAGCTCCCATGTGGGACACAGCCAGGTCTGGAAATAGTGGGGAGATGGAATCTGCAGAAGTACCGTTAGGGCTACTGGGGTATGAGGCATCAGAACGTAAGACAACAGATCTCGAAATTCCCTGCACCTGAAATTCAGGGAAGGTGATCTGCCACGTGTATCAGCAGACACTCCGGGTGACATGCTACCCCTTTTGCTCTCTTACTGGCCACTCAGTACAACCTTAAAGGCAAGGACGGTGAAACTGTTTTACATACACTTGCCATGTTATCAGGAGGACCAGTTCTTGGAAAAAGACATCAGGCTGGGAAAAGCGGAGTGTTTGAGAAACAGGAAAAGATCTTCAAGAAGAAGGACTAACACAATGATCATCGCAATGGCCTAGAGCTACAGGGAGATTGTGAAGATGACACACGACAAGGCAAGGTTCAACTGTGTAGTTCACAGAGGTGCTGCGGTGATGGCACCTACCACCACCCCACCACATGTGGGGATGATGAGACATTACATTCTCCCTGGGCCTGCAGAGCGAGGCCCTTCGTTCCAGCATGGACCCAAGACACGGCTGTGACTGAGGCCCAGGACCCTGGTGTTTCTGGGGTCTGGGTTGGGGGGACTAAGTTCTATATGGGGTTGACTACACTCATCCCTGGGATCTTCACACCTCAAAGGGCTCATCTTTGAGGAGAGCCTCTGTTTTCTGGCTGAAAGCCCCGACCGTGTGTAAGGAGAGGTGCTCACAGGGATCTGAGGGAGCAGGCCAGGTGCAGGGAGGGACGCCAGCGTGGAGCCAACTTACGGTTTTGCCACCCTTGCCAATCACCCGGCCAGCGGTGGAAGAGGGCACTCGGATGTGGGCTTCCAGCTTCACCTCTTCTTTAGGGTTAAAGAAGTTTTCTTCTTTCAGTTTCCCGAAGATCCGCCCCTGGGCCTGAGGGAGCAGAGCACGAACAGCGTGAAGGACTGAACTGTTGTCTCCTGAAGATCCAGGACACAACACTACCACATTCTGGCTGTAATGCCCCTGGGAAGAAGGCTCTCTATGCTAGGTTAATCGGACAGAGTGACGCAGGGGCATGCCAGTCAATTTAACAGGAGCAGATGTGTGAAGAGAGACGCCATGCAACAGGATGATCAGCAAGGAGTTAAGAGCACAGCCTACGGATGCTCAAGAGACGACAACCTTCCCGCAGAACCAGCTGAAAACCCCTTTCCCCCTGGAGCTCGTGTCCAGATTCTGGACTTCTAGCCTCCTAAAAGGTGAGAAAATAAATTTCTGTTTGTTACAGTCACCCACTTGAGGTATTTCTGTTATAACAGCGTGAGGTAACTAGATAACAGGTGACTCTTGGTTATTTAAGAGTTAGGAGCATCAACCTGCTTTATCAGTGCTGCTAAGGGTACCGGAGAGTCCAGGCGGGCAACACTCCCGCTGCCAAATGCACTGGCTTCTGCTCTCACGCACCCTCTGTCTGAAGAGCCTACCCCACCACGTGGGACCCCTTGCACTCTTTGAATACATCTCTGCAGCAAGGTAATCATCTCTTCCTACTCTAGCCATCACTCCATGCCAGGGTGGAGGGGGTGAGGAGGGACTGCGTGTCTTATTTCTAGATTTCCTGGCACCTACAAAAGTGTGGCTCACTGAAAGATTCTCTTGAGAGAGCCCTTTGTTCCCTCCCACAGTGACATGTTCTGATAGTGAATTATTAAAGGATGAGGTGGGAGGGGAGACGACAGGATCTGATGAGGCTGACCTTGCTTCTCCAGAATCTAACTGCTGAGCCATGGGGCTATTCTTCTTTTACATTTTTTCCCCCCTTTATTTTCTTGTTGTGTACTGCTGAATGGATCTGACTGGCACAGGAGGAAGTTGCCCCTCCTTCTCCACTGGAGCATCTGGTGGATTTGAACTGCATGCCTTTGGTAATGCAGTGCAGCTTCTTGCTACTAGGCCACCAGAGCTCCCTTCTTTTTAAATTTTAAAAAATTAAGGGACACTTCACATAATAAAAAACTGACCGTTTTAAAACATACACTCCACTGATTTTTAGTATATTCAGTCTGTGCAACTAGCACCATTACCTAATTCCAGAACACTTCCATCACTCCTAAAAGAACCCCATAGCAGAAGTGAGTCTCTATTATCCCTAATCCTAATCCCCAATCAGCAATGGACTTTCTACTCTATGAATATATCTATTCTGTTGTTACGTGCTGTTGGGTCTCAATCCAAAGCTGACCCACCAGCGAGTTTTCAGAGGCTGTAAATTGCACAGGAGATTGCCCAGTGCTGGCAGATTTGAACAGCCTGCCTGTTGGCAACACGACTCCACCCGGTCCCCAGAGCTCTCTCTCCTACTCTAGACAGCACATGTAAATGGAATCATGAATATGTAGGTTTTCAGGTTCTTTAACCCAAAATGATGTATTCTAGATTCATCATGTTTTGATACGTATCAGACCTTCCTTTTTCTCAGGACCAAATACTCTTCTTCCACTGTACAGAAATTCCCATATTTTGTTTATTATTTCATCAGTTAAGGGGTTACTACTCTTCACTGTTTCCACGTTAACTGTTTTCTCAACTAAACTATAAATATTTTAAATAATTGGGATTATACTTGTATAAATAAAATAAATTTCTGATTTTTAGAAAGCTTGAGCTATAATCTTCTTAGGCGTCAACACAAAACAAAATTCACATGATAAAAAAACCTCCCCTTACATGCATTTCCGTTTTCGTATCCACAGCCTGAAGGTAGAAATGATCACGGGAGCCCTAGACTGTCATCCTTAAAATTATGGTTGAAGGATCAGAGGTGTCTCAGAGGAAGCGCCATGTGAGCCAGGCACTGGCAGACAACCTGCTTTCCAGGGAAGAGAAGGGCCTCCACCAAGGACAGTGCACACAGAGAGGGGCAGGCTGGGGGCAGGTCGGGCCAGGGGCAAGGCAGGCCGGGGCCAGGGCAGGCCAGGGGCGGGGCAGGGCAAGCCAGGGGCAGGGCAGGGGAAGCCAGGGGCAGGGCAAGCCAGGGGCAGGGCAGGTGAGGCCAGACTATGCACTGAGCAGTTGTGGTAACAAGAGTTTACTGTTAAAAATGTCTTTCCTAGCCAGCGATTTTGACTTTGCCAAAGTGGATGGGTGGAAATATGTGAATAGGGTATGTTAGCCTATCCACAAGGGGATTGTCTAGCTTCATCAATCCATGAGGGGATTGGCTAGTCTCACCATTAAATGAAGCAGACCCATTAGCAGAAGGAGAGAATCTCACCACCCGCAAAGGAGAAGCTTGCACGTAGTAGGTGCCCTTCAGGACCAGAGTTTCTGGTCTTATGTCAGCTAGACTTACAGGAGCAGCAACAAGTAGACTTATAACAGCAGCAACAATTAGATTTACAGCAGCAGCAGCAGCTAGACTACAGCCAACAGTGGCCAAAGTAGATGGCCAGAGAACTGCTATGAGATCTTGGGACTAGTACTTGTCATGGAGACCGATCTAACAGCTTTTGCCCAAACTCACTGGAGGGTAGGGGTGGGAAGTGGGGGAGTGGACATAGCCACAATTGGCAGATCTAGGATGAGGGACCTGCCAGAACATTTCCAAAGCTGTCCTGATTGGATTCTGCTACAAACCTGGATTATAACCTTTTGACTTCCCCAATATGGTTCTGTGTGGTCTGTGAGATACTACATCAGATTCTGAATCCAGTAAAGCCGTAAAATTGGTTTTGGGATGAGTAAAAGAGGTATGAGAGCATGAGGGACCTGTCTGGCCTTGTGGGAAGCGGTTTTGCATTGTTAATGTTTTTGATGGGGACAGTTCCCCTTTTCGAAGTTGGTAAAGGTCAGATATGGTCATCTGCCTGTGGCCTTTGCCCCTTTGACAGGGGTACAGTAAGGGATGTGGCGGATGTGCTCCCAGAACTCTGACCATGCTTGAGTTGGATGCCACCTGCAACAGTGGCCCTCAGACCACCCACCCATGCCCTGTCCAGGCTTCCCTGTGTTCAGGGCCTGCAGGGTGAAGTGACACCTGGCACTGACCTTGAACTGAGCTTCAGGGGGCCCAGTGATGATGACCATTCTTTCATTGACATCCGGGCCTTCTGCTGGGGCAATCTGTAGTTCACAAAAGAACAAACATTAAGGTTTGACTGGACTTTCCAAGGCCCTTTCTTGTCTAAGTGGACATCCCGAGAGAGAAAACTGCAGGGAATCTGATGCTAGATGTGGTTCTCTGTACGACCAACCCTGTGTGGCCTTCACCTATGTCTTAGCCAGTCATGACTGGGATGTTCAGCCTCTGGCCTGAGTTTCTAGCTACTTAGGGGGACAGAAGCAGGTCATCAATTACTGTGTTGTCTCTGTTTTGAGAAACTGCTTCCTTTCACACCAAATCAAATCAGGAAAGCACTAAGGAGTCAGAGATCTAAAAGGGGTCTAAGACCTAACACCCCACAGAGCCAAGAAGGGAGCAAGAGCTGGTCCACAGAACTGCTCAACCAGAGCCCTGTTTGCAGGAATGGTAGTGCTGGTGTGGAGGACCATGTTCCTCCATGGCCAAGGAGTCAAAAGTGTGAGAGCAGCCCCTGCCCCGACCTGGCTCACTTGCAAGGCTGGTCAAGAGCACACCTTTCCCTCCCCACCTTTTTATCATCTGTGAAATGTGCAGGTTGAAACTGGCAACTCTCACTTTCTGGACACTGCATCTGGTTTCTCAAGTAATGGCTGGAATAAGTATTTTTACTCTTATTAATAAGATAATTATTACTTTTTCCCCCCTGCACTCTGCCTTACAAAAAAAAAATTAAAGCCGTTTTGAAAATGGAAATAAACATAAGCAAAAGTAAAACTTAATTAAAAACAAGTGAATTAAAAGTAAATCATTGAGGGCTGTCAGAATGAGCTAGGAGTTAGGTTTGTATATAGGATGCATCCTTTAAGAATCCTGTGGTGGGTCACAGGTAGTCTAAAGAGCAAATATAAATAAACACTATTAACAACAGCAGAGGCTGTGAGATGCCATCGAGTTAACTACTCCTCCTACTGACTCTATGAACAACACATCAATACCTAGCCATCTTGTGCCATCCACATGATCTCCCACAGGCTTGAGCCCGCTGCTACAGTCACTTCACGAGGGTCTTCTCCCGACTCTTCACCTCTCCCAGCATGATGTCCTTTTCCAAGGACTGGTCCCTCTTGACAACAGGCCAAAACACGTGAGATAAAGTGTCCCCATCCTCGCCTCTTAGGAGAACCCTGATGGCACTTTCTGAAAATAAGACTTATCTGATCTTTTGGCAGTCCACAGGATATTCAGTACTCTCTGTCAATACTGCAGCTCAAAGGCATGGAGTCTTCTGCCATCCTTATTCACTGTTTACCTCTCAGATTCATAGGAAGTAATTCAAAGCACTCCGCTCAGTTCAGGTACATCTTAGTCTGTAAACTGCTACCCTTGCTCTTCAGCATTTTAAATTAGTTCCTTGAGGGCAGATCGCCCCAAAGCAACACATTTTTTGATTGATTTCTTGACTGGTAGTGCTACAATGGGTAATGATTTTGGATTTAAATAAAATGAAACAGCTGACAACTTCAATCTTTACTCCATCTGTCACAATGTTGCCTATAGGGCCAATGGTGAGGAGTTTTTGTTTTCCTAATGTTGAAGGTCCTTTTTTGGTGTGCTTTTTGCCCTTCAAAAGTGGGTGGGTGGCCCTGAGCCTTAGACTAAGGGTAAGTAAGGGTGGAGCCTGCTCCAGGCTGTAGCTTAAAATCCAGTAGGGCCCTGAGGCCTGGGGCCCTTAGGCTTGGTTTTTTGGTGTGTTTTTTCCCCAAGCCAAACTGTATCCAGCTTTATTAAAGATACTTTTCATAAACAATCATGGTATTTCAGGCAGGACATGGGCAGACAGTTACAACAACTTTCAAACTCCCTTCTTCAATGGACTACCAAAATCAGAAAACCACTATAAAACCCAATGAAATCAAAACCCCACAGTGCTCTTTTGAGAAATGCTACTCAGATGTCATTGAAAAAGTCCAGATTGCCTGACAAAATGGTCATCAATTTCTCGGGGGGATCAGGTCCAAAAGGTCTCTGGATTTATGGGAGTCAAGTCTATGCTGAAGGCAGAGGGAGAAGAGGACATAAAAACAGATTTTTGTTTTTCCACACCACAAGGCATTTGTGCCAAGTTCACTAATGTGTGTCAACACCAGAGAATGCCTCCTCTTGACAACCAAGAGGAAGTCCCTTAAAAGCTAGAAGGTGTTTTCATTCATGTCAATTCAGCTTCAGAGACATACTATTAGTGACATTTGCCCCTTCCCCAAAAAACAATGAAGAGTTCCGTGTGCTAACAACATAGCTTTTTTTTAAAAAAAAGTAAAACAAAATTCTGCATTTTTATAAAACTTGATAAAAAACAATATTTCAAACTGTACAGTCACCAGAAGTACAGTTATCAAAAATGCACACTCTTCACTTGGCATCTCCAGAACCTTCGGCTTTCTGTGCCTGGTCTGTTTTGGCGTCTCCGTTTTCTGCAGGGTTATTTCCATCCTGGCCAGCATCAGCCTTCCCCTTTTTCCCTTTGGGTACTTTCTCTCCCTTCTTTGCAGGGGCCTTTCTGGGCTTAGGCTCTGGCTTTGGAGGAGCAGGTTTAGCAGATAACCTTGCAGATCTCCTCTGTGGCTCGTCCTTCACCTTGGCTTTATCTCCCTTAACATCTCCTTCAGCCTTTCTCTCGGGCATGGTGGCGACGACGGCAGGATCCAGGCGCTGGACTTGAGAATGTAGCAACGTGTGGGCTTGGACCAATCCGGGGGTCGTTCTTGCCTCTTTTTCACACTGCTTGGGCTCCGGGGCAGGGTGGGGGATTGGGGGGGTTATAAAGTTTTTATAGTCCTGGAAGCCCGGACCAGTTAGAGCCCTCAGGCGTGTTTTCCACTTGCTCTACAGAGGTAACTCATGGGTGCTGTGAAGCTGAAACTGTGACACTGATGTGACAAATGTGTTAATGGTTATCCATGGTGGACAATGGTTGGTGGAGCTCCCTGATTAAAACAAGCTTGGATGCAGGAGTGGCATCCGCTTCCAAAACAGCTTGTCTCGGGAAACCCTATGAACCTGGAGAAAGGACAAAAGTTATATAAACGTTCAAGTCTTTTGATCACAGGGTTGCTATGAATCACCTACAACTCTTAACAACAACAATGTTGAGATGCAATCCATATTGAAGGCTATAGTCTTTGATCTTCTCCAGTGAGTGTTTCAAGTCCTCCCTTTTAGCAAGTAAAGTGGTTTCATCTGCATAACCTGGTTGTGGATGAGTTTTCCTTCAATCTGAATGCCACACTCTTCTTAAAGTTCAGCTTCTAGAAGGATTTGCTCAGCATACAGACTAAGTAGGTACAGAGAAAGGATAAGACCCCATGCACGCTTTTCTTGATTTTAAACTATACAGTGTTCCCTTATTCTGATAGAGGTTTCACATGAGCACAATCAAGTGTTCTGGGATTTCCATTCTTCTCAACATTACCTATAATTTGTTATGACCAAAACAGTCAAATGCCTTTGTATGGTCAATGCTTCAGAAAACATCTTTCTCAAGTTCTCTGCTTTTAACCAAGATCCATCTGACATCAGCAGTGAGATCACATGTCTCCTGGATCCACCTAGGCTTCTTAGGGCAAAACAATGATCAGCGGCTGGAGGGGAGGGTGGTGTCCAGAGAATGCCACATTGTCAAGAGAAAGTCTATTTAGAATGAAATAAAATCCACTACTGGTGCTGCAGTTATGTATCCACCAGCTCTGCTGTACTGAGGCTCAATCTGGGGCTCAGGAAGAGGCCTGCTGGTTTTAACATCACTTCCTCTAAGTACATGTCCTATCCCACTTCCATATTAGTCTCAGGTCCGGTGTTGCTGTGCCAGCTTTCCTATGGCCACACATTCGAGGCCTGCTCTGACCTGTGGTCCCTAAAGGGTCCATGTATGAGGTTTAAGGAGAGTCCTCTGGCCTTGATCACTCTCTGGCCCTCGCTGTGCTATGGGTGGATGACCCATCGGCCTGTGCGGTTAGGATAGTGCTCATTTCCTGGCAGGTGGCTGAGCTGACAATTGTGTCTGAGAGACAGACCCTCCATGGGACCACAGGCCCACTGACCCCTGACACCACTGTGGGGCGCTAGTACGTCTTCTAGACTTAAAGCCAGCATCATAGCTGCTCCTTTCTCATTCTGTGTAAATGAGACCAGAGAAATCAGCACGGTGGTTCCAGCTCCTTATTCCCACCCCGCCGAGAAGGGCTGAAAAGCGGATTCATGATTCACGCTGACTACATCAGCTCTGCTGTCACCACCGTCCACGTCCGAGTGACTCACGGCTGCCTCACCCAGATTCTTAAAGAAACCACTGGCCTCCCTGCTGCCTGGCGTCCAGCAGCTTAGACCAGACAGCCAGGAGCAGTCTGATGACCTCTGCAGCTTCGGGGCAGCATTTCAGTGTGAAAACATGTGCTTTCTACCAGGCTGCGCAGTCCACTCTGCCTCCCAACTCCAGCTCTGTTGTCTCTGTCGATTCGGAGCTCAGGAGTGGACTGACTCATCCCACCGTCAATCTCACTGGGGCACAGGACTGGGGGGACACTGTGGGGTAAAGGAACTGATTTGCTTTTCTAAAAAGCCCTGTGGAATAAAAACAACTATGAGATATCACCTCATCCCAGTCAGAATAGCAAAATTTAACAGAACAGTAAGCAAGCAACAAATGCTGGTGAGGTTGTGGAGAAACTGGAACACTTATTCACTGTTGGTGGGAGTGTAAAATGGTGCAACCATTGTGGAAGGCAGTATGGCACTTTCTCAAGAAGTTACAAATAGACATACCATTTGACCCAGCAATTCCACTACTGGGAATATACCCCAAAGAGACCAGAACTGACATCCAAGCAGATATATATGCACACCCATGTTTATCATGGCTTTGTTCACAATAGCAAGGAGTTGGAAACAACCTAAATGCCCATCAACAAATGAATGGATAAAGAAGCTCTGGTATATTCAAACAATGGAATACTACACTGCATTGAAAAACAAGGAAGTCATGCAATATTATTCAAAATGGGTGACCCTGGAAGACATTATGCTGAGTAAAATATCTCAGTCATAAAAGGACAAATATGTCATGGTGCCACCGTTGTAAAACAGAACTGACCTCGGGGTTGGGGGGAGACTGAGAAAGATTGGTTCAATAATCTAAATTGCACTGAAACAGATGACGGAGAAAACTGTTTAAAAGGGATATGTGATTAGGTATTTTTGTCATGACAGGAGTCCAGAGCGAAGGCTGTATAGTGGAGTGAACCTCGGGGGAGGGATTGTAAAACAATGAAAGAATTTTTCTTTTACTTTTCCAAGAGGGCAGTGTACTGGGGTGAGGGTTGGGAGGGGGAAAAAGTGCAACAATGAATGAATGGAAATCCAAAGTCTCTGTAAATTTTCATTGAAATTAATAATAATAATAATAATAATATCATCTATCTATCTAAATAAAAGGACTTGTGGAGAAGGATTCTTATAATGTGCAGTCAAGTTGCTCCAGGGGAAAAAAAGACAAGTACATAAAGAAGACCCCTCATCACATGTGGCCTGGGACGAGGCAATACAATCTCTTTGGGGCCTGATTTCACCGTGGGCTGTAATCGCTGCTGCCCAGCCTTGATAAGAGAGAATTAAATGAGTGAAGGTAACTGATTGGGAATCACTGTTGCCATCTGCCCCAGCAGGTGCTCAATATCCTAAGGGCCAGTGGAATTTCTATCCAGAGCCAGTCTCACCACTGACAAGGCTCCTGTGCACCCGGACCAGGCCCTTACCTCTGCGTTCTCGCTGAAAAGGGAGGGCACGTGATGAGAGAATCCCTTGAGTACCTGTGAGTTGAAACCATCTCACTCTGCCTTCAGCAGGGTGTCTCAGGCCACAGGACCGGACAATGGGCAAAGCCGTCAGGATGCCCAGGGCCTTCCACACTTTATCTCCCCGTCACAGGAAGAGGAGGCATGTCCATCAGCACCAGGTCTCTCCTGCACTGAGATGCTGGGTGCACAGGCCCCCGTGTGTGACACCCCTGCTCCTCATACCTAGCGCTCTCACTCGAGCTACCAACCCTTCAAGTGACATCAGCAGAGCCTGCAGGAATGGAGGTGATGGGAGTCATTTACCCAAATACAACTCTTTCATGTTCTCGTTGCCGCTCTTGTTCTGCACGACTCAAATGGTTTGCTTTGGTTTTCCAGAGCACTGGCTGTGGGAGAAATGCCAGCTCCTCTGGGGAGAAAGTGTAGCATTCTTGTGCTCAAAGGCATGAGACCTCGCATCGGGAACCCCGGGTCGTCTTATGGGAGCAAATTATTTTATGTAACAACGGAAACTCTGTTTTGGAAAGGGTTCCAGGAGGCATGGAAGGGTTCGGGATTCTGTCTGTGAGTCAGAGCTGATAGCTGGGCTTGGAGCAGGACCAAGGTCGGATAACCCTCCCCTTTCAGTTTCCCTGATGGTTCTCCACATTGAGTTCAACGTGGCAGGATGTGGGTACGGAGCGGCAGCCGCGGCAGTACGTCCACAAGCCGGGGCCTGCCTTCCTGAGCCTCTGACCAGTCCGAGGGCGATTCCAGGCCATGCCAACTTCAGTGGACCTACGATCTCACCACCTCTTCTCAGAGCTTTTCCACTCTATTGTTTCAAAGTTCAAGAGCATATTAGAAAAACACTGGAAGCTGTTATGTACGAATTACAGGTGTACTTAAGACCTTTCTCTTAGCCGGGGAAAAAGCCTCAACTTTGCTTTATCTACTTAGGAGATTGGTTTAAGTGTTTGTTATTAATATTTTTTTTCTTCTAATTCAGTTGCTAGTTAAACCAAACAAACAAAAAAAGGCTCAAGAAAAGGAAAGATATATCTGATTTGTTATGTGCCATTAAGTCGCCTGCAACTCATAGCAACCCTACAGCTCTGAAGGCTGTCCTCTCCTGAGCCAGTCTCATTGACTCTGAGACATCAAATCCCATTAACCCAGTGACTGAATCAAGTCATCTCACCCAGGGTCTTCCTGTGCTGTCCCCTCCACCCTTCCAAGCATGATGTCCCTCTCCAAGGACTGGTTCCTCCTGGCCATGTGTCCAAAGTATATGAGGTGGAGCTTGCCTCCAAGGAGCAGCTTGGTTTCACCCTGTCCAGGATAAACCTGTTTATTCTCTTGGACAATCTGGAAGCACATTTCCTAATCCTAAGGGGCTCTGTCCATCGATGGTATAAGTCTTTCCAAGGACTGAAAGCAGCACGCAGTGCTACAGGGTAGAGGGAGGCGATGGGGAAAAGAGTGAGATGCAGGGGCATCCCCGAGAACACCTTACCTTGATAGAGGCCCCAGCAAATCTGGCCAGCTGTTTGATGTGGGCCCCCTTCTTGCCGATGATGGCACCCACCGCCTGAGTTGGGATGAAGAGATTCACAATCTCCTGCTCTGGATACTAGAAGAGCAAGAGAAGACACCAGCCCAATTGGGGTTTCTCAGACACTCAGGAGTTACCAAACCCCTTGAGTTGACTCTGAATCACAGCAAACCTCCAAGGGGCCTCTGGGGCCACCAGGCACTGCAGGAGGACACTGCCCACTGGGATTCCAAGGCCCTCAGTGGCTGCAAAAGGACACTGCCCACTGGGGTTCCGAGGCCCTCAGGGACTGTTGGAGGATACTGCCCACTGGGGTTCCGAGGCCCTCAGGAGGACACTGCCCACTGGGATTCCGAGGCCCTCAGTGGCTGCAGAAGGACACTGCTCACTGGGGTTCCGAGGCCCTCAGGGACTGCACCCACTGGGGTTCCGAGGCCCTCAGGGACTGCACCCACTGGGGTTCTGAGGCCCTCAGGGGCTGCTGGAAGACACCGCCTACTGGATTTCCGAGGCCCTCAGGAGGACACTGCCCACTGGGGTTCCGAGGCCCTCAGGGGCTGCAGGAGGGCACTGCCCATTTTCCTCCTGAGCAATATCTAGTGCTGCCAACTGCTGACTTCCTGCTTAGCAGCGCAACACAAAGCACATCACACCATTATAGGTCCTTCAACACAGTTAGCGAACCCCTGCTGTCTGACACACGGGGGGGAAAGTCCCTGTATCTAAGCGGCAGGAAAACGACACACGAGACTCCTCTGTGGACATAAGGCTCTGCAGATGTGATGCTAGAGGACTGAATCTGAACACAGGCAGTTGTTGCCCTTGCGATTGTTGTTGGGTGTTGTCGAGTTGAATATGACTCACAGCGACCACATGTACAGTGGATCTGAACCCCGTCCAATCCTGTGCCATCCTCACACTTCCCAACACACTAGAGCCCACTGCAGCTGTCGCTGCATCAATCCACCTGGTTGAGGGTCTTCCTCTCTTTCACCGACCCTCCACCTTCCCGAGCATCATGTCCTTCTCCAAGGAATAACCTTTCCTAGCAACAAGATCGAAGTATGTGAGGCAAAGTCTCATCACCCTTGCCTTCAAAGAACACTCTGACTGCACTCTTCAAGACAGGCAGTAGTACATAAAAGTCAAAATGCAAACTGCACTTGAGCATCCCAGAGCCTACTGGACCTAAACAGCTGTCTGTTCACACAGTCAGGTGTCACTCAAGTCCCTAGAACATGGGGCGGGGGGCGGGGGTGGGTATGGGTGGGTGCATTCTAATACAGTTATTTCCTCACATGCTGTCTCCCTTCAAGCTAACCAGCTGCCACTGTGTCACCCCTGACTCACGTCCTCCCTACGTGTGTCAGAACACAGCTGTGCTCCTCAGGGATTTCACAGACTCATTTTGGGGAAGCAGATTACCAAGTCAGCCTTTCTTCCAAAGTGCCTCTGAGTAGATTCAAACCTCCAGTCTCTCACATAGCAGTGTATCTGCACCACACAGGGGTATTTCCTACTATTGTTGCTACAAGGTGTCCGGTCAGAATCGACTCGTAGCTGAACCCCCAGTGGGTTTTCAGAAGCTGAAAATCACGCCACAGGAGAATGCTCCCCTTTCTCTCATGAAGCAGCTGATAGATTTGAACTGCTAACATTTGGGTTGGCAGCATAGCTCCTTAACGACTAGGCCAGCTCCTTCTTATGAGATTGTTGTTGCTGGTATATGCTGTTGAGTTGACTATGACTCACAGTGACCCTATGAACCACGGCTCTGAGTTCTGCCCTATCTTGAGCCAACGTCACCATCACTGATCCACCTGCCAGTCACTGCGTCAATTCACCTCATCCAGGGTCTTCCTCTCCTGCTGATCCAAGCACAACGCCCTTCTCCAAGGACTGGTCCTTCCTGGCAACATACCCAAAGGATGTGAGTAAGAGCCTCTTCAAAGCAAAGGCTCTTTGGGAATTACATGACTACATCTGCTAGACGTTATCCAAAGAGCTTGAAAAATCTCGCTCTCTGCTCCTACAATATACTCCTAATTTGACTTCCTGATTACTGGACTGCCCCAGTTTCCTGCCACATGAGATCTGATCAGCCAGAACACTAAGAGAATCAGTACCAGCTTTCTGAAGAACCTAACGTGTATGTGAGTGCTAGGTATTTCTGTGTACTGATGATCTGCAATGTGGCCGTCTCAGGTCAGCTGGGAACCATGGAACTCAGAACACACACAGATGGGTGAAGAACCATGAACTGTGGGTTGAAAGGAACTGCAGGATAGGCGCCCAGGGCGGAGGAGCTGAGCAGTGTGGCACTTACGGAGTGATGGTGTGGGAATGGGCCGAACTGGTGAGGAGGGTACAGGCTCGAGAAGTATCCGGAGTGAGTCTGCAGGGGAGAAACAACAGTCAGTCAGCGGGTGCTGCAGGGAACAGAGTCCTCATGTGCCACAAGGGCTCCCTGCACTGTCACCTGGCCTGCTGTGGTTACAGGC